TGCTGTGATCACATAAGTCTCGGCAGGACGTGGTGCAGTGAAAGGACGATGACATACTAGGCGATTTCGCTTGTCCCTTCAAAGATGACCGATTGTGAATTGGGGATGCCGCGTCTCAATCTCCATGAGGAATGCAGTGCTCTTTGGATTCCTGAGTTGCTAATTTCCAACTTCATTCCTCTGGGGTCTGAGAAGCTGCATGGTATGATTCTAATTCTTTTGAATTTGCTGAGACTTGCTTTATGGCCTAGTATGTCATCAATCCTAGAGAAGGTTCCATGTACTGCTGAGAAGAATGTAAAACATTTAGCTGTAGGATTGAAAGTTCTGTATATATCTGTTAGATCAATTTGGGCTATAGTGTCATTTAAATCTACTGTCTCCTTGTTGATCTTCTGTCCTGTTGATCTGTCTATTTCTGAGAGTGGAATATTGAAGTCCCCCAGTACTATTGTATTGGGGTCTAAGTCTCCCTTTAAGTCCCTTAACAAATCTTTTAGATAAACCGCTGCCCTGTAGTTAGGTGCATATTCATTGATAATTGTTATATCTTCCTGTTGAATTGATCCCTTAATCATTATATAGTGTCCCTCTTTGTCTCTCTTAACAGTTTTTTGTGGTAAAGTTTATGTTGTCCGATATTAAGATGGCTACGCCCGCTCTTTTTTCATTTCTGTTGGCATGGTATATCTTTTTCCAGCCTTTCACTTTCAGTCTGTATGCATCTTTGTTGGAAAGATGTGTTTCTTGTAAGCAGCAAATAGATGGGTTTTGTTCCTTAAGCCAATCAGCCAATCGGTGTCTTTTAACTGGACAGTTCAGGCCATTAACGTTCAATGTGACTAATGATAAGTGGTAACTTTGCCCTGCCATTTGCCAAAGATAAGTTCTAATATATGCTTTGAATTCCCTGTGATCTTTTGCTGTGAGGTTTCCTTCCTTTACCTTCTTTCATATTGATGACCGTGTTTCTGTGTTTCTGTGTGCAACACATCTTTAAGCATCTTTTGCAGGGCTGGACAAGTGGCAACAAATTCTTTCAATTGCTGTTTGCTATGAAAGTTCTTTATTTCACCTTCATTCACAAATGATAGCTTTGCAGGATATAATATTCTGGGCTGGCAGTTGTTCTCTCTTATTACCTGGGCTATATCTCACCATTCCCTCCTAGCTTGTAGGGTTTCTGATGAGAAGTCAGCTGTGAGTCTGATTGGAGATCCTCTGAGAGTAATCTGACATTTCTCTCTTGCACATTTTAGGATCTTTTCTTTATGTTTCACTGTGGTAAGTTTAATTACAACGTGTTGTGGTGAGGATCTCTTTTGGTCGTGTTTATTAGGGGTTCTGTGAGCTTCCTGTACTAGGATGTCTCTGTCCTTCTCCAAACCTGGGAAATTTTCTGCTAATATCTCACTAAAAAGGCCTTCTAATCCTTTCTCCCTCTCCATGCCTTCAGGAACTCCTAGAACCCGAATGTTGGGTTTTTTAATAGTATCCTGCAGATTCCTGACAATATGTTTTAGATTTCTAATTTCCTCTTCTTTTCTTTGGTCTGACTGTATCCTTTCCTGTTCTCTGTCTACTAAGTCCGATATTCTCTCTTCTGCTTCACCCATTCTGATTGTAAGGCTCTCTATTGTGTTTTTCATTTGATCTATTGAATTCTTCACTTCATTATGATTTCTCGTCACTATCACAGTTTCCTGTTGTACTAGTTGTTTCGTTTCATTTTGATTCCTCCTTAATATTTCATTTTCACGAGAGAGATTTTCTATCTTGTCCATTAAGGATTTCTGTAGTTCAAGAATTTGTTTTTGAGAATTTGTTAATGTTCTTATCAATTTTTTGAGATCTGCTTCTTGCATTTCTTCTATCTCATCATCTTCATAATCTTGAATTGGGGTGTCTATTTCATTTGGGGGCGTCATGGTGACTTCCTTGTTTCTATTATCTCAGTTTTTGCGTTTGTTATTTGGCATATTGGAGATATTTGGTTTCTTCACTGTGGTGCTTTTTCTTGTTATACTATGACTCTAGATTAAGTGGACTGTCTGTTTTTGATGGAGCCTTAGAGGCTTGAGATGGGTGTGGCTTGAGAGCTCTGTTTAGTGTGCCAAAGGTGACACTCCCAGGTTAGGCGTGGTAGATCTCTCTCTCTCTCTCTCTCTCTCTTTTTGTTTCAAAAGGGAAGTAATTCTGCACAGCTGAACAAAGTTGGAGGTAGTTAGCAGGCAAATGATATACCCACAGGAGCCAGAGATCAGAAGCTCTTTACCAAGGACCACACAGGGAGTCTGTTCTGCCCTCAGAGTGGGCTCAAATTCTCCTTCAGTCTCCCACTGGGTTGCCAAAGTTATGGAATTGTAGCGTCTCTGAAGAGTACTCACGTGAATTCTGTGAGTTCTCTCCCCCACCGTCTCTTTTTTTCACAGTCTCAGTTCAGTAGCACCACAAATTTACTAGGTCCTAATCTGTTAATTCGCCCCACCCAGAGTCAGGTTTTTCTGCTAGGCTCAGGGCCGGTGCAGACCTGAGGTTGCTCTGCTTATGACGTATGTCCAAGATGGCGCCTGCTCTTTGTCTTGCTCGCCCTTGAGAGGTGAGCGGAGAGAGAGAAACCCGTGTCCGTACCAGTCACCTTTTTTTTTCTCTCTCTCTCTCTTCCAGTTAGCCTGGTGAACTTTTCCCCCCCCGGGGGTCGTTCCCTTTAGTCTCCTCTCTCCGCTTGCCTGCCAGTGTCTCGGGCTATTGAGGTTCGGCTCACCTCGCGTTCCAGCGCTGGTGTGTTGAGTCTGCCGCTGGTGTCCCGAACTGTGGGCTCCCATCCTCTCCACGCAGGTCCACTGTGAATCACGCGTTCCGGAAGAGTTTCTTCTGCTGTTTCCTGCCCTACTCTTCCTTGAACCTGCAGTATCTCCACTTTTATTAAACTGTCTCTCCCCGGACTATCAGTGTGCTCCCTTCCTATTCCGCCATCTTGCCTCCTCCCATGCTTATGATATTATAACACCATAATTTAAAAAAAAATACATTTAAAATGTGGATTTGAAGTATTCCTCAATTATTTAGGTGTTTATTTGAAAGCAGAGAAATAGATCCAGAGAACGAGCTCCCATCCGTTAGTTCACTCCCGAGATCCCTGCAATCCAGAGTGAAAGCCAAGTGTCTCAGTGGGTGGCCATCTCCCCTGCCTCCCAGGAACTGTATTAGCTGGAAGCTGGATCCAGAGCCAAGAATCGGAACTGAGGTACTTAATGTGGTACATGGGATTCTCAGTGTATTAACTGTTAGGCTAACAACCTGCCTCTCCCTCTGGGATTCTTCTACCATGGAAATATTTTTGATTCAACCTGCTTACACTGAGAAAAGAAAAGAAAGATCAAACCCCTTCAAAATGTACCCTACACCTAGAACCCAAGTTAAGGCTTTGACCATTTAACCATTTTTAAGGAGGAAAAAAGTTGCTACTTTCCACAGTTAGAAAGATTTAAGAGTTACTAGTGCAGCAATCATTTCCTGGGTGAGGAGTTGGGCTTGTGGTTAAAAACCTATGTGTTAGGCTGTAGCGCCAAGGAGTAGTAGGCTAAGCCTCTGCCTGCAATGCTGGCATCCCGTATGGGTGCCAGTTTCAGTCCTGGCTGCTCTACTTCCAATCCAGCTCTCTGCCATGGCCCGGGAATGCGGTAGAAGATGGCCCATGTGCCTGGGCCCCTATACCCACATCAGAGACTCAGAAGAAGCTCCTGGTTTCTGGCTTTGGATCAGCCCAACTCCAGCTGTTGTGGCCATTTGGGGAATGAGCCAACAGATGGAAGAGCTCTCTCTGTCTCTTCCTCTCTTTCTAACTCTGTATCGTAAATAAATAAATAAATCTTAAAAATTAAAAAAAAAAAAAACCTTTGTGTTAGTTTTCAGCCTTACCATAAGTTTGGCCTGGTAGGCCTCCCCAGGGAACCCTGCCTTTCTCACACCCTTGATGAAGTCAATGGATTGCCATCTCCAAGATCTCTAAGAGGAGTTTCTGTCAAGGACTTTGGCTGGTCAGGCTCTTTGTCTATTTGCATTCTTAGCCCAGATGCTTCATTTCTGCGTCTCTTCACCTGATGCTTCAGCAGAGGCCTTCAGGCATCTCTTCCCCACAGACTCAAGTACTTTCAACTTCGAGTCCTTCTACCCTTCCCTGCCTCCAGGTCCTTAAAACTCCATGAGCCTCACATCAGTGACACCTACGCCTGTGCTGGTTGAACTGACCCTCTGGTGGCCCATTCCATGGGGGAGAATGGAATGGGGCAAAGTTGGTGCTTTTTCTTGCATAAACAATCATAGGAAATGATTGGAGGATAATGCATTTTTGGCTTGTAGTTGCTTTAATGGCTACTCTGACACCCAGCAGGCCAGCTGTCTCCAGCTCAGTTGAGCTTCTGACACTGGGTTATTAGGAAAGAAATGGGAGCAGAAGACAAAGAAAATACATGTTCCAGGGGAGGAATATAAGGATGTAGTATGCTCTTGATCTTCATTCCCTTCAAAGTGATAGCTCAAAGAGGCCATATTGTAAATTATTTTATCAAGATGTCCAACAAAAGTGATCTAAGATTTAAACACTTCTTAGAATTGCTTCCATTAATCTACCAAGTAAGTAAATAAACCAATTGCACAAATAATTATAGATGAAAAGCCATATTTATCCCAGTTAATTGGATAATGAAGATAAAACAGGTCAAGTCTGAATCACTCTCATGTCCTGAATTTGTTGCTTTACTGTATAATAGATGTTTTAAGAAATCTTAAGCCACACATATCTAATATGCCAAAGGTCAATTATAATAATAGCTTAAAAGTCTGGTGATAGCTTAGAATTTCCGGAGCTTGAATAGTCAATATAATTGCTTTATAAGTGATCAAATACTTACTTTCCATTGGAAAAAGCATATGCTCCAGGCCAAAGGTTGGATCGAAGGACTGCAATAGCATATTGGGGGATGAGATTTGAGGACAGCCGTGTAGTCCAAGGAGGTATAGTTTGAATCTCTGGAAACCAAAGAGAAATTCAAAAGTGCAAATCCTAAATAGACACTAATTCACTATATAACAAAAAAACTTTTAATAAAACACATTTGATACAGAAAGAAAAGATGGAGAGTATATTTAGCCTAGTGATTTACACACTCCCATCCCACATCAGAATGTAAATTTGAGTTCTAGCTCTGGCTCCTGACTAAAGCCACTTGCTGCTGCTGTCCTTGGGAAGCCGCAGATGATAGCACAAGTACCTGGGTTCCTGCTACCCACATGGGAGACTGAGTTTCCACCTCTTGGCTTCAGCCTGGCTAGTCCTGGCTGCTGCAGGCATTTAGAGAGTGAATCAAGAGGATGGGAAATCTCTCTCTGCCTCTCAAACTAATTGTTTTTAGAAAAAGGAAAGTTAAAATGGCAGCTTAGCACAAAGGCAGAAGAGTATCAATGTTTTGACACCATTAAATATACGAGTATCCATTTTTCCAACAGAGAAAAGTTTTATTAAGAGAAAAAGGGGTTTTGGTGTAGGGGATGTAATATTCAAATCAAATAGATAAAGGTCAAGTCATTATTAAAGAGATTGAAAGTTACAGGCACAATTTTCCCTCTAAAACAGACTAGGAAGAGACAAAAATATGGGGACAAGACTAGGTTTAACAAAAAGCAAAACCCAATATCACGTGATTTTTAACTATCACTATGCCATGTGAGCTGCATCATTCAAGATACAAATAACGTATAACTGTCAGCATTTGCAGTAAGAGTAATAACCATATTATCTCCCTGTATTGTTCTTCAGCCTCTGTCAGATAATGCTGTGATGGCTAACCACATTTTTTATTGCCCACCATCACCATGCCAGAACAGATGAAGGGGAATTGAGATGAAACTGTGGCTCCTATTCACTTTTTTTTTTTTTTTTTTGTTTTGGACAGGGCGAGGGGGCCATGAGAGAGAGAGACAGAGAGAAAGGTCTTCCTTTGCCGTTGGTTCACCCTCCAATGGCCACCACGGCTGGAGCACTGTGGCCGGCGCACCGTGCTGATCCGAAGGCAGGAGCCAGGTGCTTCTCCTGGTCTCCCCTGGGGTGCAGGGCCCAAGCACTTGGGCCATCCTCCACTGCCTTCCCAGGCCACAGCAGAGAGCTGGCCTGGAAGAGGGGCAACTGGGACAGAATCCGGCGCCCCGACCGGGACTAGAACCCAGTGTGCCGGCGCCGCTAGGTGGAGGATTAGTCTATTGAGCCGCGGCACCGGCCTCTTATTCACTTTTAAGATATGTCTTTTCAGAATTTAAAAAATATCATTTCATCTATTTGAGAGAAAGAGCAACAGAGATTGAGGGAGGGAGGGAGAGAGAAAGAGAAATTCCATCCACAGAGAGAGAGAGAGAGAGATCGACTTTCCATCCAGTGGTTCACTCCCTAAATGGTCACATTGCTGGGTCTAGACCATGCCAAAGTCAGGAGCCTGGAACTCAATCTGGGACTCCCCTCTTGAGAGTCAGGGACCCAAATACTTGAGCGATCACTACTGTTCCCCAGGGTGAACAGAGGAAGCTAGACCAGAAGCAAAGCTGAAACTTGAACCCAGGGACTCCAGTATGGATGCCAGGCTTCCAGCGTCTTAACTAGTTCATCAAAACCCAGTCCTAGAGGTTCCTAACTCCCATGTTTTTACCATATAATGCACATAGGATGTTACATAGTATATTGTATGTCCAAAGTTATGTAAAATTACCTGTATCTTCAGAGATTGGTGTCAAAAGCAGAGGTCCCACCTCTTGTTCTATATAATCAGACTCTTCTCCTTTTTCTTCTTCTTTTCCTTCATCTTCCTCCTCTTCCTCCTCATTCTTTTGTACAGGGTTGAACCAATTACAGCGACCCTGGGAATGAATGGTGCAACATTTACAAATCTCACAAGGACTTTAAAAATCTCAGAATGTTCATTTGGATTGAAGCAGTTATCAGGATGAAATTTCATTGTGTGGGAATTTAACCATTCTTCATTAATTCAACATATACTTACCAAGTACTATATTGATCCAGGTTATTTCAAGCAAAATGTTGTGTTGTACTATTTATTTTAAGAATTTGCCAATTTTTGAAGTCACAGAACTTGAAGTCTCACTATGTTTTAAAATGCACAAAACCTTACTAGAAATGGTTAAATGCATTTTATTGGTTTGTAATAAATAGATGAAACAGGTAAAGCCATTATGATGATGATGATGACAAAGACAACAACAAAATTTAAAATGAAGTAAAAAGGTAACTTGTGGAGGTTTTAAGTCCATGACTGTCTATTTAGTTCCTATCTAGAGATATCTAAGAGTATCTCTTATTTAGATGAAAGTAAAACAATGATTTTCTCCTTGCAGATTGAACAATAGAGTGGTTAGGCAGATGGATTATGGGTCTACACAGCTGCACAAATGACTCTCTTACTGAGATATATTTCCTTTTTCATGTGGCCTAAAGTTCCCTCCTCAATTTTCTTCATCTATAAAACAAGGGAAATAAAATTTTTTACAGAGTTGTAGATATATGGATAAATATTACTGAATATGAGGATATATATTTACTATATATGGATAATAGCAATTGGCACAATAGGACTGTTTGCTTTTTTATTATAATTATAGTTTTTATTATATTATTTTATTATAATCAATGCAAAAATGTTCCTTGTGTTATAGAGATATAATAAAATTGTCTTTATAATTAATGCATCTACCTATATTTATAAAATTAAAATATATAAAATTTTTATAAATATATAAATATTTAAAATTAATACACCTATTTACAGTCTATATTAAAAATAGAAAAATTTCAGAATATGCATTCATCTTGATCTATGTATCAGCTATCAAATAGTCCATAAACCTATTATTTTATTTACCATTTGAAAATTTAAACTATGTTTGAATATCCTTGGCATTTGGCAATATATACAATACTCTGTGGTTTTACTTTGTCCTTAATTATCTCTCTCTGTCTAGAATCTGAAGGCCTGTCTTTTATATATCTTTGTGCATTATAGGGACAATTTAATAATAAATATTTGCTGACTGGATGAGAGATCGAGAAATGGAAAGCCTATACCTGAGGGAGAATATGCTGTACATGGTGAACCCAATTGGATAGAGATTCCACTAGATCAGTCACTTGGATGCCTTCAAAGTCAGGGTTTTCCTCAAAGCTATCTCGCCCACCTTCCGGCTCTTCCTCTTCCTCTCCTTCCTCTTCATTAAATTGGTAGAATCCTAGAGGACTGACATGAGTCCCTGCTGAAATTCGGGCAATCTGTGCTCGTAAGTAATTGCTCTCATTTCCTGGGAAAGGTGGGTAGCTTATGATAGGAGCATCCAATCGCCCAGTGAAAAATTTCTTAATTTTTCTTGCAACAACAATTTGCGCAGGTGTAACTGATGGTAACTTCACCCATGGTCTTCCTGGTTCATTGCAAACAAAATAGACATATTTATTGGCTCCTGTTCTACTTTCTTCTTTTGGTATGACTGGTGGGGCCTTGTAAAAAGACTTTGGTAATTCGTCCTCCTCATCTTCATCAGTTTCGCTTTCTCCGTTGTCCCTCTCTTCAGCCATATCTTCCTCTTCCACCTCCTCTTCATCTTCCCCCTCACGAAGTTCCACTTCAGCTACAATATAATTCATTTCTACACCCAAGATTTTCCCCCAGAAACGGCATCTTTGGATTGGGTGGGTGTCAGTGAGTTGCTTGAAAGCAAGAAATATGCGGTAAGTCTCATCAGTGCCCAAACCAATTCCAGCTTGTTCAAAATAAAAAGCTGACTCCATTATATTTGGAAGAGAGTTTTCTACCTGTGAAAACAAATACTGCAGTTAAATGTTTTTCTTACAAAGGGAATACTTGCTTCTCCCTTGTTTTGTATACATCTCATTACTTACTTTCTATCTCACCACTTTTTGCCATTTCTTTCAGCATTTAGATCAAATTATAATTCCTGAATTTCAGTTTATTTTCAATAAATGTAGTTTCAATAAATTTACCTTTTACCATTGAGTCTTATACTCAATATAATTTAATAGCTAGAATTTGATAACTATTTTCAGTAATCAAAGTTTGACACCTTTGTTTTACAAAAAATGTTTGACTCCTTTACATCCTAAAATAAGATGTAAATCAAGATTAAAATAAGTATTTTTATTCCTCCTTTTGTATTATGTATCACTGACATGATACATAATATCAAGAAATTATTTAAGGGGTTGCATTAGTAGAGAATACAAGTAACATTGTAGGCACTTTTACATTTTCTAATAAATCGAAGGGAAAACAGATAAATAGATTCAAAATCTAATTTAAAATTATTGGATATTTATTCATTGTTGAACAAATATTTAACAAGAAATAGTTACACGTTCAGACTTCACCAATTATCTTGGAAGATATAAAAATGAAGAAGCCATTTTCCCTGAAATCAAGGATAAACCTAGAACAAACTTCTAAGGCCTGTAAGGTGCTAACACATAATGTGAAAAAATTAAAACACTAAGCAAAAAGTTGAGTGGTGTGAAATGAGGTTTATTGGAGGGACCTTGAAGAGATTTAAGAAACATAAGATGCACATACTATTTAGGGAACTCTGAAAGATAGTTGGTATGAATGTAAGGCCACACTTACTTATCCCAACATCTAACAATTTTAATCTAATAATTAAATTTTAATGTAACAATTAAAATTTATAGTAGTGACTCACTATTTCCTCTTCTAGTTCTTGGTCAGCTCCTTCCAAATGTCCGTGGAGAAAAAGAACCTTTTGTTTTTCTGCTATTTCATATGTTGGAAGCATTTCATTCTCATTTTGGAGTGTATCTAATTTTTTATTAAAATGTTCCATTTTCACATCTTGGCTTATGTTTTCAATGATGTCAACAGCATCTTCAGGACGCTCATCTAATATCTTGGTCAGCACATTAGAAAGATGATCATATCTACCCAAATAGAGAACATTTCAAGTAACATACATGGCAAGAGCTTCTAAAAAACATTTCATCCAGACTCAGCTGAATTTTAGTGAACTTCAACAACTTGAAGTTTTCAGAGATTTTCAGTGTATAAACGCTTTTGGTGGTTTCTACCATGCCATTTCCTTAGGAAATGTCTCTAATATTATGTAAATGTTTAAGTTATTAAAGAAAAATATGTTGCAACAGGAAATATTCCAAATCAGATATATTTCAGATTTTATATCTAAAACTGAAATCTCTTGGGTATATGTTTAGAACTCATTATTGTTAAATTCTCACCCTTTGACCTTAACCTCTTTTCCATTCATCTTTCCCTGCCCTTACTAAAATCAACTTGACTTCTAAACTGTTGGTTTTGTCTTAAGATCTATTCTTTTCCTTTCCATTTTATTTTTTAGCCCAGTTATTTAGTTCAGTTTTCTTTTTTAGACCTATAAGGTTTCATAAAAACCAAATTTAGAATGTGAATTTACTTTTAAGAAGTCAAGGTGCTCTCATGTTGAAAACAAATTATTCTATTCCATGTGAAAATGCATAAATTGCCTCTCTGGTGGGTATGTATTTTATCTCAACAAACTTCATTTCTGATAATTATATCTATTTAATTACATTTCCTATTCCAGAGAAGTAAATCTAATAAATTACTTTAATAAATTTTTAAAGTCCCACATGAAAGCCTTTGCTTGTTATGTCCCATTTATGTCTGGAAAAAAATAAAAACAAAACTTAAAACACCCTTCATCTTCAAAGACTAACCACCCAAATCATTCACCCAAACCATTGCTCCTCACTTTAGAGTAATCATTCTGAAAACACTGACATACTACTATGATGTCGTGTACACGTTATATATTTCCTACTCAGCAATTGCATTGAGTTCTACTGTGGCCAAAATTAGAGTAGTTATACATCTCCTCAACTACTATAAATTCCTGGTATATACAACAAACCAAGCTTAAATGAACAAGATATAGAAAATATCAATGGACCAATAACAAGAAATGAGATTGAAGGAGTAACTAAAAGCTTTCCATCAGAGAAATGCATGGGACTTGATGGTTTTGCTACTAAAATCTACAAAACACTTAAAGGGAAACTAACTCCAGTACTTCTCAAACTAGTCCAAAATTTTGAATAAGATCGACTTTTGTTAAACTCTTTTTATGAGGCTGACATTACTCTGATAACACAACCAAAGACACATACAAAAAATAAAGCTATGAGGGTCAGCATTGTGGCATAACAGGTGAAACTACTACCTACAATGCTGACATCTCATATGAGTGCCAGTTTGAGTCCTAGCTGCTCCACTTCTGCTCCACTTCCCTGCTAATGTGCCTGGGAATGCAATAGAATATGGCCCAAATGTTTGAGCCCTTGCCACCCGCATGGGAGACCTGGATGGAATTCCAGGCTCTTGGCTTCAGCCTGAACCAGCCTAGGACTGTTGCAGCTATTTGGAGAGTGAACCAGGAGATGAAAATCTCTCTGTGTCTCTCCCTTTATCTTTGTAACTCTGCCTTTCAAATAAATCAATAAATCTTAAAGTAGGAAGAAAGAGAGTGAGAGTGAGAGTGAGAGAGAGAGAGAGAGAGAAAGAGAGAGAAAGTAAGTTACAGGCTGATATCCTTAATGAACAAACACAAAAATTCTCAAAAAAGTATTAGCAAACTGAATCCAGCATTACATCAAAAAGATCATATATTACATTCAAGTGTGATTTATCCTAGGGAGGCAAGGGATGGTTCAACATTTGTAAATCAATAAATGTAATAAATTATGAAGAACAAAATCACATAATCATATAAATAAATGCTTAAAGAGAATTTGATGAGTCAACAACTCTTCATGATAAAAAGTCAACATATTGGCTATAGAAAGAGCATATAAAAATAATAAAGTGAAACAGAATAAATATGTGTAATAATCACCTACTTTATTAACTGATCTGAGTTTTTTTTTGTCCCTTTAGTTTCTGTATTTATCTAATGGGCATTAGGAATGTTACAGAAAACACAGAAAAACATAAGTAGATTACATGGTCAACACAAGTGAAGAACAGTTAAAAATATTATATTTGATGGATATATCACACTTTTTCCAAATATTGTTATTCTTAAGAATAAACAGAATTGTTTTGAATGGCAGTTTCTTAAAAATTTTACCATGCTTTCACTTTTTTTAAAGATTCATTTATTTATTGGAAAGTGAGAGTTACACAAAGAGAGAAGGAGAGGCAGAGAGAGAGGGAGAGAAGTGTCTTCCATCTGCTGGTTAACTCCCCAACTGGCCGCAATGGCCAGAGCTTCGCTGATCCGAAACTAGGAGCCAGGAACTTCTTCCAGGTCTCCCACGTGGTGCAGGGGCCCAAGAACTCGGGCCATTTTTCACTGCTTTTCCAGACCATAGCAGAGAGCTGGATTGGAAGTGGAGCAGCCGAGACTCGAACTGGCGCCCATATGGGATGCTGGCACTGCAGGCAGCAGCTTTACCTGCTACGACAAAGCACTGGCCCTCATGCTTTCTTAATATTTACTCAGTGCTGAAACTAATGGAGAAGGTTCCAGACTGAAAATATCAAGCAATAGTTGAGTTTATAATTAAAGGATTTGATTCCAATAGTGGCCATGTTTGACATTATTTTTATAACGTATATTATGTGGTTATTCATAAATTTCCATTCTAGATATTTTATAAATGTCTTAAGTTCACATATGAAAATGCCTTTTTGTCAAATATCGAATATGTTTATTAGATTTAATTCAGGATTACAATTTTTATTATACAGGATTAATAAATTGTTTTGATAGAATGGTATTAAAAGATATAGAAGGAAGAAGAAATTATTTCCTGTATGTTTTTTTGTAAAAAACCATTATCAGATTCTGTATGTTGGTCAAAAATTGTTTCAATAGCCACGAAAAATAGCTTTTAGAGATGTCAAATTAGAGCTGCATCGAAGAGATGCAGTTAAAGTCATCTTGTACTAAGCAGTTTTTAACTGAAGGCTTTAAAATATTTAAAACATAGCAGTGTACATTATAAAATAGTTTATTATCTCAGATACAGCATTTGAAAATAAAATTATGTTTAGATATTTGAACAAAGCCAATAATAACTCAGTAATTTTCTGTTTTTGTTTAAATTGTTAATGAACTCACAAGTATTTACATGAGCTATTTTGCAATTTAAACAAAGTTTATAAATCTATTCTTGTTATTTAATCAAAAGCATTATGAAAAGAAGTTTATATCAGAACTTCAAGTAGAATCCACAAATAGCACATTCTTAATGTTTAAGTAAATAGTAATTTAAAATAATATCACATAAAACATTTTAGATCATCCAATTTCATATTTAGTGAGTGACTTCTCTTGTCAAATATTGTTTTTTCATTCATTACACCTTACATTTGTATCTCATATTTATTAAGGACTAGTTATAGCTTCAAACATTTGTCATTGTGTGTATTCTGTGGGCATCAATTAGTATTTACTGTTTTATCAGGCTTATCAGCAGATATGGTGATAACTGAAGTAGAATCAGAGGTGTGGATTGTAGCTCCTGTGCTGCCCTTCATTTATTCATACATCCATTCATGATTATTCAACAAAGAGTTTATAACACTTTGTTAGGCACTAAATGTGTAGTAGTGTACAAAATCTAAATGGTCTCTGTGCTCTTAGGGCCTGTTGTCTAGTAAGAGAGTCTGACCATAAAATATGTCTATAAATATAGCTACATAAAAAATGCTGAGTGCTATCAGAGTGAAGCACAGGCTGTTATAATAGAGTTTCATGGAAGCTGAGCCAGTCAGGCAAAGACTTGAGAAAGAAGCCCACTGGGCAGAGAAAACAGCTCGTGTACTGCCTAGGCCATGTCACTGGAGCACAGTCATAGAGGGAGAGGTGCAAGCCAGTGAGTACTGGGAGCCCAGGATTTGAGCAAAGTAAATTCTCCATGATTCAGTCTACTGATTATAAAAAAACAACTACTTGATTTGATGTTTTCTAAAGTCCCTTCTAACCCTAAAAATCTGTTGACTCCTTGACTGTGTAACCCTGAAAGCAAGAATCTCTAAAAATCTATATTGTCATGAGTTTTGAAAGTAAAGCTGTAATTGGATAGCTAGGACATACCTGAACCATTGCTCACCACATTTTAAGAGAAATCTGTATAAAATGTCATATGTTCTGAGTTGCCTGAATAATGACTAAATTTCATAGTTTGTGCAGGACTGAGGGGTTTCTTTTTTAAAAGTTTTTATTTAATGAATGTATTTTTTCATAGATACAACTTTAGGAATACAGTGGTTATTTCCCCCACACCTACCCTCTCCCCCTCAACTCCCATCACACCTCCCTCTCCCTCTCCCATCACCTTCTTCATTATGGTTAATTTTTAGTTTGACTTTATATATATACAGAGGACCAACTCCACGTTAGGCATAGATTTCAACAATTTGCATCCCCCCCCCCCCCGCCAACACATGCTACATATAAAGTTTGAGAACAAGATTTGCAGTCGATTCTCATAGTATAACTCATTAAGGACCGGGGTCCAATATGGGGAGGAAGTGCACAGTGACTTCTGTTGTTCCTTTAACAATTAACACTCTTATTTATGACATCAGTGATCTCCTGAGGCTCTTGCCATGGGCTGCCAAGGCTATGGCAGCTTTTTGTGACCATAGACTCCATTGTATTTGGACACAGCCATAAGCAAAGTGGATGTTCTCTCCTCCATTCAGAGAAGAGTACCTCCTTCTCTGATGGCCCTTTCTTTCCACTGAGGTTTCACAGAGATCCTGAGGGGTTTCTAGGATACACAACTTTCAGTATTCAAATCAGGATAGTCCAGGTAAACTGAGATGTTTGGTCATTCCAGCACCAGCCTGGATGGAAAAAGATCTAGCCATGCAAATTACAGAATGCTCAAACTCCCTGCCAGTGGTAGATAATTATTCTTTTCAAGCATCCCTTCAGTATGCTTGAACTCCATTATCTTTATGATCTCTTTGAAGTCTGAGATTCCATAATTACTAAGTTTTATTTCTGTGTGCCTAGAGTCTTTGAGGAACCAAAAGAATCCCCACCAGTGACTTGTTTTGGGTCTTGGGTGGCAGAGTTGTCAGTAATTCTCCCTTTGTCCCAAGATTTATTTACTTATTTGAAAGGCAGAGAGACAGAGGGAGAGGGAGAGAGAGAGAGAGAGAGAGAGAGAGAGAGAGAGACTGAGACCTTTCATCTGCTGGTTCCCTCCTCAGATGGCCACAACAGTGAGGGCTGGGCTGGGCTTCAGCCAGGAGCCCCTGAACTCCATCAGGACCTCCCATGTGGGTGGTAGAGACCCAAGCACTTGGGCCATAATCTACTGCCTTCCTATGCACGTTAGGAGGAAGATGGATCAGAAGCAAAGGACCTGGGACTCTATTGACACTCTATGGTATTCAGCTGTCCCAAGCCTTGGCTTAACCCAACTGCACTACAATGCCCACCCCTACTCTCTTTTACTAATGCAATCTTTTCAGATGCATTTTTGTTTACCCACAGGACCACACTCATACACACAGAAAGACACACCATATCTTTGTTTATTTGTTGGAGACTCACACATTGAAGCCGGACCTGCTGCTCGTCTTCAGTAGGTAAGCCTTTGCATTCCGAATGGCAGTTTCCAGCATGCTGGGGGCCGCTTCGGAGGCTCCTGGCTCAGTCTGATCTAGACCATAATTACTGTTAGAATCTTCCTCCTGAAATACATCAAATCTCTGCCCTTTTGGTTTGTCATTATGGCTCACATTCCTCATTCTCTGCAGGAGAGGTTTGGGTTGCTGGGGCAACTGACAGGTGTTTCCCTCTGGTTGGCTTGAGTGATGTTGAATTGGTTCTTTCTTATCAGATGGTTGTTCCAGCAGATCAGGATGAAGTTTCCCAGCTTCAGGAATCTCATTAGTGGTCCTGTCTGAGGGAGATGGTATAGCAAGATTCTGTTTTGCCAGAGCCAAGACAGAAGGAATAAAAGAAAGTTCCCGAGGAGAGGAATGGGAAGGTGACGCAGGTGTTCTGAGGTCATCCAGATATGTGCTGTCTTTAGACTGGGGGCTTCTAGGAGGGCTATTCTTGGGAGGAGGTCCAATTTCCCGCCCCTGTTCCACTTCCCAGGGATCAGATGATGCAGGCTCAGAATCTTGGGAAGAAGATGGTATCTTTCTTTCCCATGGCTTCTCTGCTTCCTCCTGTTCTTTATTTTCTTTTTCTTGCTCCAGAGAGGTCGTGTCTTCCATGGAAGAAGTCAAGGGGAAAAGTCTTCTGGATGAAGATGTGGTAGAAGGCAATGCAGAGCAGAAGCTTTGCTGGGATCCCCTGAGTGATTTCTGGATCCTGACTACTTTGCAAGTTGCAGCGTCCTATCTCCATAGCAACGCCAGGCAGGGCCCTTCGGTGAAAAACAATACACTCACGTTGCCAGGATGCTACTAGGGAGGAGACGGTGATGCAAATCCTAGATTTGTGATTTGATGGCTCCCCTGCTCCTCTTGCTGGCTCAGCCAATCATTTCTGAACTCCACCAAACTGGGTTGGTAATCTGAGAACTGCGAGTTAGAGCCTTGAGCACAAAGTGGGAGGACCGGTGGTTCTATGTGGAGAATTTTAAGGGTCTATTGGCTTGATACAAGTTGTACAGTGAGGAAGCAGTAGTGCATTAGTGAACTGAGGATGTATTTACGCTGTGTGTGGAGGGGGGGAGGGTAGAGAGGGGGGAGGGGGAGAGAAAGAGAAAGGGCAGGGGCCGGAGCTTGGAAATCTTGTTCATGCCTGCGACAATGGGATCCCAGGGTGCCAGCCTAGAGAGCCCAAATTTCAGACTTAGAGTGCCCTGAAGATGTCTCATTTGCATCAACCAAACAAGTCCAAAAGAAAAACGAAGTCCTGAGTTTTTGCACTTCTCCCTTTATATGGACCCTGCTCTATGAGTATTCGGAATATTATCTTCAGGAAGACAATGCAGAGTTACCTTATATAAATAGATAGTTAACAGGTTACTTGTTTTCTAATAATTTAAATCCAAATTAACTCTAAAATTATGTTGATATAAAGTATTACTTTACATGTGTGAATTCACAATTTTGCAATGACTTTGCAATGATTTTGAATCTTAATTTCTGGTATGCAATCTCCAACATGAGGAAAATGGAGGATTTCCTCATATCTGTCTTTTACTATAAATATAAACCATAATTTAAAATCTTTAGGATTAATTTGTTACATATTTCTCTTCCCTTTTAAGTAAAACAACAAATACTTGGAATTTGACACTTTCCATTGATTTAGCAAGATGTAGATTATGAATTCTAATTACATGGAAGAACAAAATACTACCTTAACCCTAGTTTGGTGGTGGTGGTGGTGGGGACCACAGAACCCTTCAATAATTAGGTAAAAGCCCAGGATCTTTATCCTTCCCCAAATACAGATGTGTGCATACTCACAAAATATTTCTCATAATTTGTGCTAGTTCAGGGCTCCTTAAAGTCGGGTCTTAGGATTTATGACTTTTGGAATTCTAAAAGCAAACAAAAGCTTAAGATAAGGGAGAAAAAAATTTACGTGTAAGTTTTGATCCATCACCTGCTGCCTCCAGAGTTTGCCTTAGTGGGAGTGTTGAATCTGAAACAGAGCAGGGACTTGAACTCAAGCACTCAGATATAGGATGTAGGCATCTGAAGGGACTTCTTAACTGCTGCACCTAACACCCATCCCTCTTTTCTTACCTAATGCAAGCATCTGGTATTTTACATGTAAACACTCTTTCTAGTTGATATCCACATATCTGATATGTTTTATTCCTTTTTCACTCAGTTCAGTATATATTTGAAAATCATCCTTGAAGCATTCTCTTTGATCCATCAATTATTTATATGTGTATTTTAATTTCCAAGTGTTTAGAGATTTTATTTTTTTTAAACTTTTATTTAGTAAATATAATTTTCCAAAGTATAGTTTATGGATTACAATGGCTTTTTCCCCCCATAACTTCCCTCCCACCCGCACCCCTCCCATCTCCCGCTCCCTCTCCCATTCCATTCACTTCAAGATTCATTTTCAATTATCTTTATATACAAAAGATCAATTTAGCATATATTAAGTAAAGATTTCATCAGTTTGCACCCACACAGAACATAAAGTGTAAAATACTGTTTGAGTACTAGTTATAGCATTACTTCACATTGGACAGCACATTAAGGACAGAGATCCCACATGAGAAGTATGTACACAGTGACTCCTGTTGTTGACTTAACAATTTGGCACTCTTGTTTATGGAGCCAGTAATCTCCCTAGGCTCTAGTCATGAGTTTCCAAGGCTATGGAAGCCTCTTGAGTTTGCTGACTTCGATCTTATTTAGACAAGGTCATAGTCAAAGTGGAAGTTAGAGATTTTATTTTTCAGTAGTGAATTTATATATAATTCCTTTACTATCAGAGAATATACTTTGTATGCTGTTATATCAGGGTAAATTTCTGAATTTGAACTTATTCTCTTTGGAGTTCTCACAACTTTTTAAATATATATTATATATATATATATATTTCAACAAATTGAGGAACTTTTCATCCATTATTTCTTCAAGAAATTTTTGTCTCACACACATACTCTTTTTCTGCAACTCCAGTGTCACAAATGTTAGATCTTTGTTATGCCCTGTGACACCTGAAGTTCTAGTCATTTTCTTCACCACTAAATTGGATAACTTCTATTGATCTATCTTCAAATCACTGTTTATTCCTCTGTCCTTTACATTATGCATGAGCCCATCCAGGGAGTTCTTTATTTCAGTTATTTTATTTTTCACTTCTATTTTTTTTAAAGATTTTATTTATTTATTTGAAAGTCAGTTACAGAGAGAGGAAAGGCAGAAATAAAGAGAGAAGTCTTCCATCCAATGGTTCACTCCTCAGTTGGCTGCAAATTAATCCTAAATCCAGTGCTGCACTGATCTGAAGCCAGGAGCCAAGAGCTTCTTCTGGGTCTCCCATGTGGGTGCAGGGGCCCAAGGACTAGGGCCATCTTCTACTGCTTTCCCAGGCCATAGCAGAGAGCTGGATTGAAAGAGGAGCAGCCAGGTCTTGAACCTGCGCCCATATGGGATGCTGGCGCTTCAGGCCAGGGCATTAACCCACTTCTCCACAGTGCCGGCCCCTTACGTTTCACTTCTAAATGATCCATTTGTTTTCTTTGTATCTTCTTTTGTTTTGCTGATATTTTCTATTTTAGAATTTATTTAAAATAATTTTAACATCTGTGCCAAATTGGTGTCCGTATCTGTTTTTTTTTTTTTCATTCAGTTTGAGGATTTTTGAATCATGGCATGACAAATAATTTTGAATGCAAGTTAGATATTTTGAGACTCTGGTTCCTATACAAATTTTCTATTTCAGTAGGCAGTCAACTTTCTTAGCTTCATAAAACAAGCTCAGACTCAAATTTGTGAGCTGTAATTTAAAAGTCAATTTGCTTTTCAAAACCTGTGCAATAAAATTTTGATCTGCCTCTCTGCTTGCTACCCAGAGGTAAGTTGAAATGAGAGAAGTATTTGCACAATAGTTCAGTGCTCACAACTTTGTTCTATTGATTCTTATTTGTTTTAATCATTGGGCCATTTGAGATATTGCTAGGAATTTACACACAGACTTAAAACCTGCCACCTTGACTTTTTATTTATTTATTTATTTTTCTGACAGGCAGCATTAGTGAGAGAGGAAGACAGAGAGAAAGGTCTTCCTTCTGTTGGTTCACTCCCCAAAAGGCTGCTGCGGTTGGCGCGCTGCGGCCCACGCACTGCGCTGATCCGAAGCCAAGAGCCAGGTACTTCCTTCTGGTTTCTCATGAGGGTGCAGGGCCCAAGCACTTGGGCCATCCTCCACTGCACTCCCAGGCCACAGCAGAGAGCTGGACTGGAAGAGCAGAACCAGGACAAAATCCGGTGCCCCAACCCGGACTAGAACCCTGGGTGCCGGCGCCGCAGGCGGAGGACTAGCCAAGTGAGCCGCGGCACCTGCCCACCTTGACTTTTAGTCTCCTCTTCACTCTTTTTAACCCCATTTTGTTATTGGGAGGAGGTAACGTGCCCCATCTTTGTCATTGTTCACTTATTACACCATAGGATTAACTGACAAAGCTCTACTCTATTCTCTGCACCTCCCAGAGGGGAAGGAATGAGGCACTATCTCCAGCGCTTGCTCTCTTTTTGGTACCATATGATACATTATTTTTTTCATGCCAATGCAATATTAATACAAAGAGTTTCAGTGTAGTTCATAGATACAATTCTAACAATATAGTGATATTCCCTTCTTCCATCCCTTTCTCTTCTTTTTTCCTCCCTCTCTTCCTTTCTTTTCTTTTTTTCCTTTCCTTTATTTTCTTTTCTCTCTCCCTCATTCTCTACCTCTTTCTTCTCTTCCTCTCTCTCCCTCCCTCCCTCCCCTTCCTCCACCTCCCTCCTTTCCTCCCTTCCTTCCTTCCTTCCTTCCTTCCTTCCTTCCTTCCTTCCTTCCTTCCTTCTTTCCTTCCTTCCTTCCAGTTTTTGAGACAGCATATGTTATATTTACATTATGGTCAAGGGGTTAATATTCCACTAAATAATCAACAAAATAAAAGACTCTAGTTCAGTGGGGATATAGGCAAGGATTGTAAACAATAATCAAAAGAGATGACTACTTCACCCATATACAATACATTTTACAATAATCACAGATCATTATCCCATAGTAGTATAGCATTCTTTTTTTCATCTTATTTCAGTTATACAAGTTTCATATATTCATATATACAGATTTAGAAACATAGTAGCAGTTTCCTCTTCTCTCTCCCCCACCTATGCTCCAACTCTTCTTTCCCCTCCCTCTCAGATTCCCACTCTTAATTTTTACAATAATCTATTTTCAGTAAACTTAATGATCATACAGTTTACCCTACTCTAAGTAAAATAATTCAAAAAATAGTATGAAGAGAAACAAAGTAAAACAAATCACTGCTCCTCAGTGGAAGACAAGGGCTATAAGCAATCATCGATTCTCAAAATGTCTATTTCACTCCAATACATTACATTTCACGTACTCTATTAGTTACCTTGGATCAAGGAAAACATGATAGCTATTCTTTTGGGATTAGCTTATTTCACTAAGTATAATGGTTTCTAGTTGCGACCATCTTATTGCAAAAGGCAAGATTTCACTTTTCTTTCCTTACAACTGAGCAGCACTCCATAGTGCATATATACCATAATTTCTTTATTCAATAAAAGATATAAAACAGATATAAAATAAAATTTGGCAAAACTATATTTGAAGCAATATTGATGAACACTGGCCTTTTATGCTTTTTGACTTTTTCCTATTTGATTTTTAGCTCCCATTTTTATAAGGGAGAAAAGGTTTTTGTTTATCTGTGTCTGGCTTATTTCATTCAACACGATGTCCTCCAGTTGCACCTATTTTGCTGCAAAACATTGAATTTCATTCTTTACTGTGGAGTAATATTCCATTATATGTTTATATACCTCATTTTCTTCATTCATCTGATGATGGACCCTTGGTTGATTCCATATTTTGGTGATTATGAGCAGTGCTGTTATGAACATGGTGGTACAAATATCTTTTTGACAACATGTGTACATGTTTTTGGTATATACCCAGTCATGGGATTGCTAAACCATATGGCAATATGGCCAGTAACTTTACAGTTTTTTTTTAAATCTCCATACTGTTTTCCACAATGGTTGCACTAATTTACTTTTCAAACTACAACGTATAACTGTTCCTTTTCTTCATATCCTCACCAGCATTTGTTACTCTGTCTTTTGGATAATAGAAAGAGAGAGAGAAAACTCAACACTGGATTGTCCCTGAAGTCCTGTGATCTCTGTCAAGTTTCTCTTCTTTCTTCCACTTTCTAAAATTTTCAGATATTTGCATTAAATATTTTATTCAGGATTTTCAGGAGTGCTTAGTGAAAGTAATAGTGTAGAATATGCTGACTTTATTTTTCAGTGATCAAAGAACTAAATCTTGAAGGAATGAGAGACTATCCTGGAAGTTGATTGATAATGTGAATAATGATAGATCATAGATGCTATGAGTAAATAACATGACACTTGAAACTGTGTTTTTATGGAGTGGGAAGGGTAATAGTGTGATGGTAGAAATAAGAAGGAAGGAGGACAAAACTCAATTATGAGAGACAAAACAGACACTGATAAAGTTACAAAGGAAGCATTATTTTCATGGGTAGAATGTGGGATCATAGCAAGAAGGTGAGGGACAAGTTATCAGGAAATGCATAGATTTTAATGTTTCACTCTCCAAAAGCCTGCAATGACCAGAACTGGGCCAGGCTTGGTGAGGTCAAAGCAACTTCAACTGGCTGATAAGGTCACAGCAGAAAGTTTGTCTAAGCAAGGCGTTAACAGTCCTTTTGTTGCAGAATGTTGTGGGGTCATTACCCAGATCCCCCAAGGTAGGAGCGGAATTTTTATGGGTTTCTTCTGGTGTTAGCCCCCAGAAGCTAAGATGAATCTCCCTGGTTCACATAGGGAGCTAATGCCCAAAAGCTCACACAGTAGCCATATGTAGGAGATCTGTCCTTTGCTCTACACATTGCCCTGCCTTTGACTCTGATTCTGGTAGGAGCAGAATATTGGCGAGCTGTGTAACTTCACATCTCTGAGTGTGGCACTCTGTGGGGGTAGGGGAGGGGAGGGACCAATTCAGCTTCCCTTCTCATAGCCTGGTAGTTGCTTCAGCTCCCCAGGCTGAAGTCATTGGTTGACTGTGGACTCCCTTCCCAGCTAAAACTGCCAGTGGTGGGATACATAGTAATTTCTTCCTACTTTGATGTAATGAGATGGTGGCTCACAGCCAGCAGCTGGCTGCACCCTTTGACTGGCTGCAGTGGTGTCAATGTCTTGTGTCCTCTTGTCCCATGGAGTCTTTGTTTCTTTTTTACACTTTTTTACTGAAATTTTTGTCAGTCAGACCCTTAGAGACATCATCCTTCCTTTTTTTTTTTTTTTTTTTTTTTTTTTACTTTTAAGAAATGCAAACTTCATGCATTTCATACATACAAATTTAGGAACCCAGAGAAGTGGAAGTTAGTGTGGCTATACCCTATTCAGTCATCTTGGATCAACCCTGAATTTCTCTTCTATCCTACTTTGCTGAAGTTTTTTATCTGAGTAGTTTTTCTCAAATGTGTTGTGTGCGTTCATTGATAGAACTATGTGATCAGTATTCTTAGTTTGTTGACATGATGGATTTCATTAATTGGTTTTCAAATGTCGAGCAGTCCTGTCTACTTGGACTACATAATTCCTTTTGTGAATTATTGGATTAAATGTGATAATATTTTGCTGAGAATTTGTGCATCTATGTTCACATTTTGTAGCATTTCTTGTAATTTACTAGTTTTTTAGTACTACCATTGATTTGGATTCATAGCATGTGTTTTGAAGTCCTTCTGCTTCTTTTGTTATAAAGAATTTGTATTGCTCGTTTTTCTAATATTTGACAGAATATGCTAGTGAACCTCTATCAGAAAAAAAATTTTTTTTTTAAATTTGACAGTTAGAGTTATAGACAGTGAGAGAAAGAGACAGAGAGAAAGGTCTTCCTTCTGCTGGTTCATTCCCCAAATGGCCGCTATGGATGGCACCGCACCGATCCGAAGCCAGGAGCCAGGTGCTTCTTGTTCTCCCGTGTGGGTACAGGGGCCCAAGCTCTTGGGCATCCTCCAGTGCCCTCCTGAGACACAGCAGAGAGCTGGACTGGAAGAGGAGCAGCCAGGACTAGAACCCAGCACCCATCAGAAAAATGTTTTTTATTAATGTATATCTTTAATTGCTCTGCATCTAGCCAGATGAGCTATGTCCCTTTGTGTGAGATTGGATAAATCATGTCTTTCTAGGTATTGTCCCATTTCATCTTCTTATCACAGTTTTCGACATAGAGCTATTCATGGTCCTTTATTATTCATTTAGTATCCATGAAATTTACAATGGCAATCTCTTTTATGTTTCTGTTATTAATTTGTGTCTTTCTTTTTTCTTCTAAGCCCTTATACTTGTTTACCATTTTTATACATTCTTTCAAAGAACCAGCTTTTTGTTTCACTGATTTTGACTATTAATATCCAAGTTCCAGTTCAATTTTGTGCTCTAAGTTCTATTATTTCTTCACTTCTTTTTGCTTTGTAGTTAATCACTTATTTGTTTTTATTTTCCTAAGGTGGAAACTCAAGGACTTTCAATATTTTTTCTGTTTTATTTTTACTTTTCTTTACTGTGCTATTTAGTGTTTCAACATATTAACTATCATAATTTACATATTTACATTAATATACATGAAAATAAATTTGGCTTATTCCATTTGAAGACCATTATAAATTATACTGGTAGAGAGATATTCCTCCCTGTGTTTCAGTCCCCAAGTGGCTGTAACAGCTGGAAATGGCTCAGATTAAAGCCAGGAACTGGGAATTTCAGCCTATTTTGCTATATGGGTGACAAGGGCCCATTTGTTTTGATTATTATGCACTGCTTTCCCAGGCACAATAGCAAGGACTTAGACTGGAAGCAGAGTAACTGGGACTTATGCTGTTATTCAATATGGATGCTGGCATCATAAGTGCTGACCATTCACTATACCTTAATGCAAGCCTCAATTTATTAAACTTTGTAAGTTTCTTCCACCACTTTCATGCTGCACTTTTTCTTTCATTTGAGAATTATATACAATTTCACCTGTATTTTCTTAGTTAATTAAAATGACTAGATATTTAAAGATTAAATGTATGCAAAATTAGTTTAGTTGGTGATTTTGATGGGTAAAACTATTTTTAATAAAGTTATTTAATTATTTTAAAGATTCATTTTGTTTTTTATTTATATAAAGGGAACTAATTTTCTGTATTCATATATATAGTTTTAAGAGCATAATGAATCTTTCCACCCTCTTATACCATAGCTAATTATTCCTTCTTTGATGTCTGGTATTTAGTGCAAACTGTGAAATTGAGTTATTAAAAAGGTATAAGTTTATATATTATTTATTTCTTACACAAGTCATATTTCTACTTTAGATTTATTCTGAAACCAGAGATTAAAGTTGAGTTACAAGAATAAAGGAATTTTTATGTTTTATTGATTCTTACTTTAATATAGATAAAAAAGAAAAATATGCATCACAGAACACTTTCTGCAGACATTTACAATTATTGAATTATGATTTGCACTTACTGCATTATTATGCAGAATGACAATGTTATGCTTTTTATTTTACCCATTATTATGCAGAGCAATAATGCTATCTCTGAAATCAATTTAATTTTTTAATTTTGAAAATTTTCATGACTGATTTATTCTGAGTTTAAATTCTCAGTTTCAGTAATTAAATATGAGTCAATTTTTTTTCAATTATTTTCCCGTGGAACTCATGACAATTACTACTACTAAGAACTTTTTATTCATTATATTTATTAATACATTGGTATAATTAATAATTGAATGAAAGTGACAAGTTAGATTAATTTTCAATGTGATTACAGTTCTATTCATTCAATCCCAGATAAATTCCAAGGGAATATCTTTCATCTTTGTCTGGAATATTTTGTCAAATCTTTCATTCTGCTCCACAGTCAAATGATGTTTCCAATCTCCAATTTTACCTAATGGGATAAGCACAGAAAAGTGGTAACATTGTCAGTGTGAAAGTTACCCCAACCTATTATAATCTTTTCTTTAAACTACACTAAATCGAATGAGCTAAAACCACATAATGAGATGACCTAAGAAAGGCTCATAGGAATGCAGCAGCAGTAATTAGGAAGAATCTTTAAAAAGCTCTTGGAAAATACATTTCATGGAAGAATTATTCAGGGAACTCCAAAAATACTTGCCACAAAGTAAAAATATTATTGAATTAAACTTTATGTGAATTTTAGCAGTTTATTTATATGAGAGTGAGGAGAGAAAAAGAGAGAGAGGGAGAGAAAGAGAGGGAAAGACAGGCACAGAGTTGGAGAGAGAATAGGCGTCCAGCTACTCTTTCACTCCCAAATGCTCTCTATGTCAAGGAAGTCTAACACTAGAGAAAGGAACAGAATCCAGGTCTGCCATGTGGTTGACAGAGCTCAATTACTTGAGCCACCATTGCTGCCAGGTCTGCATTAACAAGTGGGAATCAGGAGCTGGTGCCTAAAATTGAACCCAGGTTCTCCACTGTGGAACATTTTCATCTTGGCCACTCGAGTAAATGCCTGCTCCTATGTGAGCATTTTAGCAATTTATTTTCTATGTGAAAGGCATCATACTAAGTGAACTACTTATATCATATAATAAAGTTCACAGTGCAGCTTTACATATGGGCATTTCTTCCATTTTAAATGGAAAAGTTAAGACTACTAAAGTTTCAACTAATGAAGATAAGGTGACATTATAATGAAGCTTAAAAAAGGAAATCATAACAATTTGACACCTTACATTCTTATATTCTTGTGTTAACATTAGCATTCACATTAGGAACAGATATCAAGCTATTATGGATATGAGAATTGGATTACATCTGATCTAGTTGAGGAATGACAGGAAGAAGTTGATAATAAATGGGACTAAAAAAGACATAGATGGGAGCTGGCATTATGGCACAGCGGGTTAAGCTGCTGCCTGGGATGCCAGCATCCCATATGAGCATGGGTTCAAGTCCCAGCTGCTCCAGTTCCCTACTAATGTCTCTCCTCTAACTCTACATTTCAAATAAATAAAAAAAAAGAAGGCATAGAAATGTTTTGGCCGGCACCGCGGCTCACTAGACTAATCCTCCGCCTTGCGGTGCCAGCACACCAGGTTCTAGTCCCGGTCGGTGCGCCGGATTCTGTCCTGGTGGCCCCTCTTCCAGGCCAGCTCTCTGCTGTGGCCAGGGAGTGCAGTGGAGGATGGCCCGAGTACTTGGGCCCTGCACCCTATGGGAGACCAGGATAAGTACCTGGCTCCTGCCATTGGATCAGCGCGGTGCGCCGGCTGCAGAGCGCCAGCCGCGGCGGCCATTGGAGCATGAACAAACGGCAAAGGAAGACCTTTCTCTCTCTCTCTCTCTCACTGTCCATTCTGCCTGTCAAAAAATTAAAAAAAAAAAAAGAAATGTTTTAAGTATGAATATCAAGGAAAGTTTCAATAATAAATTACATATTTTCTTATAAAGTAAGATCCATCATAATAATAGCAAGTTCATATTAAATTAGAGAATAAAATATTACTGATAATTTCCAATTACATTTTAGATTTCTATACATTAAATTCTTAAATATTAAAATTTGGAACTTATGGGATATTGCTGAGTAAGAAAGTCTATTCATCTTAACAATAACTACTGGTTCATAATAGAAGCAGAATTAAATTAATATACTCTTGGAATAATTGAATTCAAAGAAAATTGCTCTTTTAATCTCATTCTAAATTTTATGGAGAAGAAATCTTCCACCTAAAGACGCACTAATCAAAATTTTTCTCCCACATAAAAAATGTTTGCATCCTAGAATGTTTCATGATAAATAAAGAAAAACAGAGAAAGAAAATATCCTAGTAAAAAAAAATCTGCCTCCTTCAGACAGTATTTGGCAAGTAATTTTCAAGAGAAGGAACATGTGGCCTAGAATGAAGGAATATAATATTTATTAAGCAAAGGTCAATGGTCATGGTGTGTAGTAAAACACTTTTAATTTTCCAAAGAAACTGTCCTGAGCTGTTTTTGGTTAGGAGCCTTGCTACCTGTTCAGTCCTCAGTGGCAGTATAACTTGGAGAGACATATGGAAAACCCTGATGAGTTCTCCCAGGGGCCAAATTACAGCATTTTTGCATCGATACACAACTTAACATCACCTTTGCGCATGAAATGTCCATCCTGGTGTCTCATCTCAATCCGACTTTTCATAATATTAGTATAGTTTGCTTGTGGAAGAGACTTCATCTTCTCAAATGTAGCCTGATTCACAACAGCATCCACATCTTCTTCACTCAGTTCTTTCTGAAGAAATGAGCAGATTTTAAGCACTGAGCTTCTGAGATCCTGAAAGATAATGGGTGTGAAGAATTATTTAGGTTATGAAGAAACCATGAGTTACAGCCTAACATACACTGTGCTCTAATGTATTTTTCCATTGAATTCTAAATTGATTTAAAATATGAAAACTCGAATCAATACATCACATGTGTAGAATGAAGGAAAAAATATGAATATCTCCATTGATGCAGGAAAAACATTTCAGAGTATCTAATTATATATTATGAAAAAAGGACTCAGTAAGTTATAAACAGAAGTAATCTTCATCAACATAAAAATCCCTACAGCTAACATTATATTCAATGGAGAGACCATGGAATATTTTTGGCTAAATTCTGGAACAAGAACAATTTTATCACTTCTACTTAACATAATACTAGAAATACTAGTCCTAGCAATTGGAAATAGAAAGGCACTGGAATTGAAAAAGGAAGTAAATGTATCTCTGTTAATAGACAACAATGTTATGTGTTAAAAGAAGTTAATGATATCCCCTGAAAGAAACAGAAACATTGCAGGATTTTAAATCAACATAAAAATCAGATTAATTTCTATAAGCTAATAGTGATCAAGCAAAAAGGAAATTAATACAACATATTGAACTGAAAATAGAACACTGTAAAAATTAAAAGAAAGAATAAGAAAGGAAGGAGGAGGGAGGGTAGGAATATGGGCAAGAAGGAGGATAGGGTAAGAAGTATCAGCATGTTCCTAAATGTGTATATATGAAATACATGAAATTTGTTCACCTTAAAAAATAAATATTTTTTTAAAATTAAGTCAAAAGAATAAAAATTCTTAGGTACAAATTTAACAAAAAATGTGAAGGACTTATCTGTTGAAAACTACACACACTGCCACAGAAAGTGAAATACATGAAAATACATGAAACAATACTCTAAGTTCATGATTTAGAAAACAATAATTTTTTAAAAACTTTATTTAAGGTATACAAATTTAATGCATTTCATACAGATTTAGGAACATAATGATTCTTTCTACCTTACCTTCCTCCCACCCACAATCCCACCTTTCTTCCTCCTCTGTCTCCTGTTTGCACTTTTTATTTTGAAAACAATAATTTGAATATTCCAAAACTTTTCCAGTGATCCACAGATTCAATGTAATTCCTATCAATATCCCAATGCTGTATTCTATAAAGATAAAAAAATCCCTTAAAAAATTCATGTTGGGTTTCAAGAGATCAGAATAGGAAACAGGCTTGAAAAGGAAATATAACTTTTAGATTTGAAAACTTGCTACAATATTACCATAATCAAAGCAGTGTACCAATGACATATGGAGCCATCTAAGAGAAGATTGGACCAATGGAATGGAACAGAAATCACAGAAGTCAACTTTCACATATATTGTCAAATGATTTTTCACACAAATACCAAAAACTCAGTGGGAATTGAACAATATTTTCTAAAGATTGTACTGGGAAAATTGGATGTCTACATGCAAAAAAATAATAGAATTATCATATGTAAAAATTTATTCAAAAATATGTGGAATAAATGTGAGAGCTAAATCTATGTACTTCTAGAGGAAGACATAGGGGAAATATTTTAAAATATTGAATTTGACAATGATATTTTGGATGTGACACAAAAGACACATACGATGACAGAATAAAATAGATCAAATAAGCTACATTAAAATTTAATAGTTCTGTACATCGCCAGACACAACAGAGTGAAAAAGTCACATATGGAATAAAAAAAATGCTTGCAAATCATATATCTGTGCAAGAGGTTGATCTCAAAGGCATAAACATCGTAAGTTAAGAACATAAGCAATCTAATTAGAAAACTGAAAAGAACTTTATATTTCTTCAAAGAAGATATTTCTTTCTTTTTTTTTTTAAGGTTTTATTTATTTATTTGAGAGGTAGAGTTACAGACATTGAGAGATAGAGATAGAAAGGTCTTCCTTCTGTTGGTTCACTCCCCAGACGGCTGCAACAGCCAGAGCTGCGCCAATCCAAAGCCAGGAGCCAGGTGCTTCTTCCTTGTCTCCCATGTGGCTGCAGGGGCCCAAGGACTTGAGCCATCCTACACTGCTTTCCCAGGCCATAGCAGAGAGCTGGATGGGAAGAGGGACAGCCAGGACTCAAACCAGCACCCATATGGGATGCTGACACCATAGTTGGAGGATCAACCTACTGTTCCATGGAGCTGGCCCTTCAAAGAAGATATTTCCACTAAGCACAAGAAAATATGCTTAACAGCACTAATATTAGGGAAATTCGAGTGGATCACAAAGAGATACAACATATATTTAGTAAGGCTATTATTAGAAAATAAAACCAGAAAAAAACAGAAGTTGTGGCAACCATATGAATGTTGGAATCCTTGTAAACTATTGGTAGAAACGTAGAAGGATGCTATCATAATTTAAAATGATATGGTGGTACCTTGAAAAACTCAAGACAGAGTTACCTTATAATTCATCAAATTCTTCTGGGTACATACCCAACATATTTCAGAGCAATTGTCTCAAAAAGGGGACTTCCAAAAGGACATGGAAATTATGTTCAGTGAAAAAAATATGCATGGTTTTCAAAAACTTGTTCATAAAAATAAACTACTACTAATTCCATTTTCCACAGACTTTTTGTTGTGCCCTTATGTTTGTACATCCATGTTCATAATATAACTATTCACACTCACTAATACATGGAAGCAACTCAAGTGTATAAAGATTAAAATTTAAAACCAATGGCGTATACATACAATATAATATTATTCAGGCTTTAAATGGAGGAAATTCTGATACATGTTATAACGGTGACAGACATTGCAGACTTTATACTAATGACAAAATCAGTCAATGATGAAAAATGATATATTATTACATACATATGAAGTACTACTGTTATTCAGACATAGAGAAAGAAAGTAAAATTGTGGCTCTAAGTGTAGAGGGAAAGGGACGATGAGGAGTGATATTTTAATGGGCATAGTGTTTCATGGGTATAAAGTGAGAAATGTTTTGGTGATGGACAGTAGTCATTGTTGTACAACATTATGAATATAAATAATGCCACAAAACTATAGATTAAAATGATTAATCTGGTACATTTTATATTATCCATTTTTTTATGATCAAAAAATGTAATGAGGGGAAAAACCTGAAACAGAAATGCAATGTATCTCATAGGAAAGAGAGATGAATGTTATCTCAGAGAAGATAGAACAATTTTCATGGGAGTATATATTGTATTTCAAAATGAAAGATGAGAAATGTCTGCAAAATTATGGAATCCTTTCTGAGTGTAGACAAGTCCAATATTACAAAAATTTTTAAAGTCTTTTAATACTTAATGAGAATTGAAGTGCAATGTGGTTGGTACTGGATAGACATACAGGAAATGCAATTGGTTGGGAAGCCTGGGGCCGAGGATTAAAGGCTCTTCTGTTTATTGGGTGTTTTTGTTTTAATCCATGTAGCTGGGATGGGGAGAGATTGAGTGTGATGGAGTCAAAATAACAGGAGTTTAGTTCTTAAATTATTTATACAAATAATAGTTATGAAATGGTGGAATGAGAAGGCCATGCCAAGGTGGCTGCTGGCAAGCGACCATCAGTTACTCAGGAATGGCTTTGAAACCCACCTGGCAACGGAGCCTGCCTGGCAACATGCTGTGATTGGTTGGGGCATAGACCACCCCTTGACTGGATTGGCTGGTTTTTGCTATATAAGATGTTGTACCAACTGAAATAAATGAGTCTGCGGGATGTTTGCCTCAAGCCCGCTTTCACCCGACTCCCGGGGTCTGTGTGGTGACTCCGTGTCTCTTGCCACCACCATGCTCCTCCTCTCAGAAACGAATCCACTGCAACATTGTTGAGAAATCAACTGCAACAATGAAATACTACTTTCCTGTGACAATTTTTATGACTAAAATGAGAAATTGAAAGAGAGAACATGAAGGGGTAAGGCAATGATACCAGAAATCATAAAAAAAAAAATAGAAGTGGAACTATAGATATTACAGTTACTAGAATTATCAGAATCATTTTTAAAATGTTTAAATTATTTATTTGAAATACAGAGTTACAGAGAGAGAGAAAGAGAGAGGAAGAAGAAGAAGGAGGAGTAAGAGGAAGAGGAGGAAGAGGGAGAGAACAAGAGACAGAGATAGAAAGAGAAAGAGAGAGAGAGATATCTGTCATCTGCTGGTTCACTCCCCAAATGGCCACAACAGCAGAGTTGGGACAAACTAAAGCTAGGAGCTTCATCCTGATCTCTGACATGGGTGCAGGAGCCCAAGCATTTGGGTCATCTTCCATTGCCTTCCCAGGTGCATCAGCAGGGACTTGAATCAGAAGTGGAACAGCTGAGACAAACTAGCATCTATATGGCATGTGGTCATTGCAAGCGGCTGTCTAGCGAGATACATTACAATACCGGCTCACAGAATGATTTTTAAAATAACTACTGTCATTATACTCAAGGAGCAAAAGAAATGAAAATCAACATGAGTAAATTTTACAGCCAATTGAACACAAATGAATACAATCTAGACTGATCTTGGAACAAGGGAAAGAAAACATATTGATAATGACACATTATAGAGAGATAAAAAAGAGGTGGTTACCTGCAAACAGAATTTCTGCTTGGAAGACAATTCTTAAAACTCTTTTCTGTATCTCCTTAAATTTCTTCTCTTATGGTAATTCTTCCCTAATTCTATGTGCTACTATTACTGTTGTTAAATCTGAGTCATATTCTGGGAAATAGTAAACAGGGTTTTTGGTGGAATACACTGAACACTTATTAAAAACTTCTCTCTCTACAGTCTACTCCACCAAAACATACAATATTATGAATTATTCCAATATTATGAATTATGAATTATTCCTCTGTGAAATATTCAGCCATATGAGAGGAAATATCATGGGATAAGAAGAATGAAACTCTCCATTAGATGAAATTCTTTCTTATCTTTTGTTACATTTTAAAATGTCTTGCCTATAGAAGAGACATAAGATAAACATGCAGATTGTTGAACTGTGTAATGAGCATTCATGATTTCCACATATTCATGATTTCCACATATTTCCACATACTTCAATAAACTGACTGATATAGGTATTCCATAATTCTAACACAAACTTCTGTTCTTATCCTAAATTTGTCACTACCCTCAAAAGTTAACCCCATATTCTTTACATTAAAAATTCCCTTTTTATTATTTAGCCATATATATGAAAATTTGAATATTACACTTGTTAATGACTTAATTGCAATTACTGATTCCTGGTCACTTGAAACAGAGAAGTAGAAAATAATTCTGTACAGTCTCTGTGGTCCTTAGGCTATCACCTCCAATCAGGAGAAACCTGGAAAGTTTTCTGACAAAATTGCCTTGCTTTTCAGTGCCATGATGACTTTATCTTTGGAGAAGGAAATAAAGACAATATTAGCAAAATTACCAAGATATTTACAATGGAAGTAGCAGATAAGGTAAGATGTAAAGTTTTATGGCTACCTAATTGCTTGAGAAAATTGAGGGCATCTTTTAGAAAGAGATTTAAAAACTGAAAAACTTGAATTGAACAAGATCTCTCCCAAGATTCTCATATTATTAAACAGTATTTTTTTATTTTTTATTATTATTTTTGGACAGGCAGAGTGGATAGAGAGAGACATTGTTCACCCTCCAATGGCCGCTGCAGCTGCACTCCCTGGCCACAGCAGAGAGCTAGACTGGAAGACAGACATTGGGACAGAACCAGGCACCTTGACGGGGACTAGAACCTGGTGTACTGGCGCCGCAGGCAGAGGATTAGCCTACTGAGCCATGGCACCAGCCTATACAGTATTTTTTTTGCAAGGATGGCAAAACACATTGATTGAATATACTTCAACAACAGGCTACATTGTGGAAGTTGAGAGGAAGGTAGTATCAGATGACAGTGTATTAAAGGTAGAACAGGGAGCCAGCACCGTGGCTCACTTGGCTAATCCTCCACCTGCGGTGCCAGCACCCCCGGGTTATAGTCCTGGTTGGGGCTCCGGGTACTAGTCCCAGTTGCTCCTCTTCCAATCCAGCTCTCTGCTGTGGCCCGGGAGGGCAGAGGAGGATGGCCCAAGTGCTTGGGTCCTTGCACCCGCATGGGAGACCAGGAGGAAGTACCCGGCTCCTGGCTTTGGATTGGCACAGCACCAGCTGTAGCATTATGGGAGTGAACCAACAGAAGGAAGACCTTTCTCTCTGTCTGTCTCTCACTGTCTATAGCACTCTCTCTGTCTCTCTCTCTCACTGTCTAACTCTACCTGGACCAAAAATAAAAAAGGTAGAACAGGGAGATATTCAAGAGGATTTACCTAGTTTTTACCATGTTTGCTTTGAAATTTCAGTATAACACACTTTGTATGAATGCTGTTGTTTGAGAATATGCTTCTGTATGAACTCAAAGAGTAAAATAGCAAGGGGATCAGATTTGGATTTTAAAATTATGGCTGTTGTTGAAGCATGGAGAATGAATGGAATAAAGCTGCTACTGGAGGCAGGCAGACAAATCAGGATGGATGTTATACAGACTACGCTAGAGATACTGGCAACTGTTCCACAGCAAAGGCAACATAGGTTGAGAAATGTTTGTGTCCTCCACAATTAATACAAAGACAAATGACACTGATTAATTAGTTATGTGAAGATGTGAGAGTGCAGCACATAAATACATAGTCTTGTTTCTGATTTTGGACACCTATAGTGCAATTCATAGGCAAGGCAGCTTATGTGGAAGAGGAGATAAATTCTACTTCGGACATGATTTACATGAAGTACAGTCATTTGAGATAAATAAGTATGCAGAATATAGTTATAACATGTATGTACCTGGGCTGGTGATATTTATTTGAGATTCTTTAACTTATTCCCCAGTCCATTGTAACCTGGCATATTTACTTCCAACACACTTTATATAACTGAATTCAATTGATGTTCTAAACTCTCATTTTCCTTGTTTTATTGACCATGTTAAAGGCTTTTTTTAAAAAAAAAAAAAAAGATTGTAAAGATCTTTGATGAGCCACCTGCTTGGCTTCTGTGTCACCATCTACTCCATATATTCTATCTACTTTTTTTTTAATATATGACATTTATAATGATGATAAGTCTATCTACTTTTGATTGCTCTTGTTCTGTTTCTATGGAGGGCTCATTCTTCTTCCCCAAACTTACATCTTAACTTCACTTCTAATTGATTTTAGCTTCCCTATTCTCCTCTGTACCTCCTATTCTCCCTCCTTGCCTCCTTTTGTTTCATGCTGCTGCTTTCCTTTCTGCCTTCATCTCTTATAATTCTTCCCTCTGTCTCGCCTTTCTCTATTTTATCTATACTCATTATTTCTCTTATGTTCTTACAGTGATGATGTCCAAATTACTATCATTAGTATCTTCACCCAAATCTCTGAGTTTTTGATTTGTATTTCTCTTTATTTCTCAGTCTAATTTTAATACTTTTCAGTTACTATAAACTTTATGTGTCATACCAACATCATAAGCCATCTGTTTAACCTGATTGTGACTCAGTATTCCCTAAACACTTACTGATTATCTTCTTTATCCAAGTAGGCATATGGATTGGGAACACAGAAAACATCTTAGATACATCTCTTTTATTTTCATGGCCTAAATCTACCTTGAAATGAAGCATTCTTGGCCGGCGCCATGGCTCAATAGGCTAATCCTCCACCTAGCGGCCGCCTGCACACCGGATTCTAGTCCCGGTCGGTGCCAGATACTTTCCCGGTTGTCCCTCTTTCAGGCCAGCTCTCTGTTGTGGCCCAGGAAGGCAGTGGAGGATGGCCCAAGTGCTTGGGCCCTGCACCCACATGGGAGACCAGGAGAAGCACCTGGCTCCTGCCTTCGGATCAGCATGGTGCGCCGGCCGCAGCGTGCCAGCCGTGGCGGCCATTGGAGGGTGAAGCAACGGCAAAAAAGGAAAAAAAAAGGAAGACCTTTCTCTCTGTCTCTCTCTCTCACTATCCACTCTGCCTGTAAAAAAAAAAAAAAAAAAAAAAAAAAAAAAAAAAAAAAAAAAAAAAAAAAAAAAAAAAAAAGAAGAAGAAGAAATGAAGCATTCTTTCCTTTCCCAATGATACCAATTTATCTAAGACATGATAGTCAATGAATTATTACACTTGTCTCTAAGTCACCCACCCCACTTTAAAATCACCGTTTTCATATCATAATGCACTAATAGGAACGATATTTTGAAAATACTCATTCTATACCATTGGCAACCTTTTGACAAGTCTGAAATGGCTCTTATTTCTTTTAGAATTAAAGATAGCACTGTCATTATCCTAGCCTACAGATCTTGCATAGTCTGACTCTTACAAGCCCCTCTATCTTGATCTTTCATAGCTTCTACCTTGCTCATTACTTTCTTCCTTCAGTTGTTAATGGTGTCAAACACTTTACTGTTTCTAGGAATGAGTGCATGTCTTCCATCTCTCTTATTTTTATTAATTTGTATTTATTCGCTTGATACTCCTATGCTATTTTTAAGAAAATGATGACAATATCCTTTGACTACATCAAATCTACATCAGATGTTAGATACCCTTCTTACATGAAAATGTTGATTTTTTTGTCGGATCTTTTCTCTTATCCACACATACCACAGTTTAAAAGTATTTATCCTTAGTTGGTGAGTACCTGCATTTTCTGATAGATTATGAGCTTCATATAAAATAAAAAACTCAAATAAAATAAAAAACTCATATAAACGCATATAATTCATATAAAATAAAAAACTCAATCCTTTTATTCTTCTCTATTCAGTGGCCACCATGTTGACTATTTATGAGTAAATAAAAAATTTTTATGCAATGAGTTAATCAATACATCATCTTTGATAACCAGTCACCTTCAGCTGAGTTCAGTTTGCCTTACTCAGTGTTCTGAGAGCATTTTGAGTTGTCTGCCAGTATTTAGTCTTTCTGTGAACACAAGCTGTGGTTCAAGATGTCCCTAAAACACAAGGGAACTTGCATCACAAGGCACATTCATGTGTGGCAATAATTAACCGTATGTTGGTGGTAGTTTCTTGCCCAGTGCTCCTTTAACCTTTACTAACTTATACAGCTCAAGAACTTGCCTTTCTTTCTGTAGATGATTACATATGAAGTGATCAGAAAGATGACTGCACAGTGAGAACAGAGCTCCATAAAGAACCAGAAATCAAGGGAGGGGGAGGAAATTAGATACCTAGAAATAAGGATAGGCAAGAAAGTTAGATGTGATGATGTCTCCAAGAATGTAGCTTTCTGGAACTGAAAGAAAACAAATATTTGAATGAAATGATTTCAGAAAATAACCTTCTCACCTTACCTTCTTCATATCTTCATACATCATGAACAGAATATTGAAATCATGTTTGTGTTCATACCAGCCTCTGATGTGATCAAACCAGAGGCTTCCCACCACTATGAGAAAGATTGATATACAAGGTCATTAGGTTGCACTCATTTTCAGAACACTATATTATTTCTTTATAGTTTTGGAATTTCAGAAATCAAAACTAAGCTCCTGGTACTGGTCATCTAAGTCCATAAAATGGTTAGTGCTCTAGGGAACATTTACGTGATTTTTATAGTAACTTCCCTCAGCAATGCTACTCCATATATCTGGCAAAGGATCTCTAGAAATTAGTCCAAACATCTGAGTTTGAAAATAACTTTCTGATAAACCCTTATTTTCCTACCTTATCTCCCTGAAAACATACGTCTCTATTTTTCTTCTTATTTTCTGAGATCTAGGATTACAATATTTGCCATGAACATGAAGATAAACCTGAATACAATCATCTAAATTCATGAGAGTCTAATCCCACAATCCACAAATTTCTTGTGTCACTGTATCCTCCTAAGGAGTGGAATGAAATCATCCACAGAGCTATATAAGGTTTAACACAGAACTGTGACAGAGCATTCAAACTCATTAGCTATTCTGGAATATTTGTCTCCAGCAATCGATCTAATTAGTGTGAGTTGCAAGAGTATCTGTGCCTCTTTAAAGGTATGGACACAAATCTTCTAAAGAATATATGTTTGCAAACTTGACAGCCCCCAAATTGTCCTGGCAAGGATAAAAAATCCCTTGGGTTGTTGTTAAATTACTGTCCAATTTTAACCATTTCTGTGGGCTCCATACTCAAGGCAAATTTCCTCTCTCTAAAATATGTTTCTTAAAGTATAGAATTTTGCTAAATGACAAGTATCAGCTCCTAAATATACTGCGTGGTAAATGATCCATTACCTTTTCCTTCTAGAAACTTTTCCATACAATGTTCTATGGTGTCTGTAGGTTCATCTATGTTTATCCAATTTGTAAAATAAAAATATGATACCAACACATCCTTAGGATTTCTGTAGATATAAATAACCTGCAGAGAGAATTATGAAAAAATTTTGAGTTCTTAATTATTCTTATAGACTTTTCCTAACCATACCATCATTATTTATTACATGAATGCATAGTAATTAATTTCATTCTGTCTATAAGTGAAGTAAAGCTATGCTGTCATCAATTTTGTTTGCCATTACAAAGAGTGTTGAAACAAATGAAGTTATTTCTATGATGTTGCACATGTGCTTAAAATTTTAAGATAAATTTCTATGTATGAAGCTGATGGTAGACTTCATAAATATTACATTTTAGATTGCATAAAAGCTCTAGTGACTACCTTTCATAGGAATCATGTTGTAGTTGATGTATAGAGAATTTAGCATTCAAGATTAGTGGAAAAATGAGCTATTTATGATGGAACAGATAATCATGTAGATGGAAAAGCAAGTTTGTTTTTTAATTCACATCATGCAAAACATTAATTACTAAATGATTTAACTATGTACTAAACCATGGCATCCACACTAATAAAAAGTTTATGGGCTTGGAACACAAAAGAATTTATTAAAGGGGAAAACACTCATTTAAAGTAAAAATTGAACATTTTCACTACATTAGGAGTGATTCTTAACAAAACAAACCATAGAGTGTGGTGGAATGAGAAGGCCATGCCAAGATGGCATGTTACTCAGGAGTTACTCAGGAGTGGCTACAGAAAACCCTCGGGAAACCACCTGGCAACAGAGCCTTCCTGGCTATGATTGGGTAGCTTTGGATACTGCCTGGCAACAGGCTGTGACTGGTTAGGGCATAAACTGCCCCTTACCGGATTGGCTGCCTTGGCTATTTAAGCCGCTGTACCAACTGATACAAACAAGTCTGTGGGCTGATAGCCTCTGGCCTGCTTTCACCCGACTTCCCCAGGTCTGTGTGGTGACTCTGTGCCTCTTGCCCCCACCATCCTCCTCCTCCCAGAACGAATCCACCGCAACAATAGAGTTTCAAAATTTGAGCGAAAAAAACAACATAAGCAGCATATCACTATCCAGAATACATATATAATGTATATGTATACATAATATATATTTATGAGAACATTAACAAGTAATAAAATGTTGGGCAAAAACACTGTCACTTCACAGAATAAAAAACAATTACAGCTGAAGAACATAGTAGGAAGTAGTACATAAAATTGATGAAGATAAGGGGGCTGGCACCGTGGCACAGTAGGTCAATCTTCAACCTGCAACACCAGTCCCGGCTACTCCTCTTCCAATTCAGCTCTCTGCTGTGGCCTGGGAAAGAAGTAGAAGATGGCCCAAGTCCTTTGGCCCCTGCACTCACATGGGAGACCAGGAAGAGGCTCTTGACTCCTGGCTTTGGATCGGTGCAGCTCTGGCCATTGCGGCCATTTGGTTATTATAGGAAAGGCAGACTGCACTAGATGCTGACAAAGTTGTGGAGATGGGGTTACTTACATACTGTTTGTGGGAATGTGAATTAGTGATGACATTATGGAAAATAGTATGAGGATTTCTTATAAAACTAGAAGTAGACTTGCCATATGAGCTAGCAATCTCATTTCTGGGTATATACCAAAATGATACATGAACATGATGTACCAAAGAGAAACCTGCACTACCATGATTATACCACCAGCACTGTTCACAATAGCCAAAATATGGACTCAACTAAAGTGTTCAATATCAGATGTATGGATAACAAAAATATGGTTATATTTGTATAACCATATATATACATAAAAACACATATGCATGATGGAATATTAGCTATAAAAATAAAGTTCTATCATTTGCAGTAAATTGGATGCAACTGGTGTACATCATAAGAAAGACAAGTATCACGTTTGCCTTTATAAGTGGAGCTAAAATCAACAAAAAAAATCAAGAAATCTAAAAACAGAAAAAGAAGAAATACCTGTGTATGTCACTATTGTTGCAAACATAATATTGTCAACATTGTTTTATATCTTTGCCAAACCAATGGTTATGTTATACTACAATGGGTTTTTTTTAAGAATTATTTTATTTATTTGAAAGGCAGAGTTACAGAGAGAGGCAGAGCCAGAGTGAAAGAGGTCTTCCATTCCTCTGGTTCACTCCCCAAATGACTGCAATGACCAGAGCTGAGTTGGTCCGAAGTCAGGAGCCAGGAGTTTCTTCCAGGTCTCCCACATGAATGTGCAGGGTTGCAAGGAGTTGGACCATCTTCTACTGCTTTCCCAGTTCAGAGCAGAGAGCTGGATTGGAAGACGAGCAGCCAGGACTCAAACTGGCGCCCATATGGGATGCCAGCACTGCAGGCTGGGGCTTTAACCCACTACACCACAGCGCCAACCCCACTACAATGTGTTTTAATGATCTGTGATTATTTTAAATTTCACTGTTATGGGAGAAATGGTCATCTTTACATTTAATTATTGTTTGTAGCCCTTAGTTATATTAACACTGATACAGGATCTTTTTGTTTTTCACTTGTTGAAATCTTTATGTGGTGGAGCATTAGGCCCTTGACTATAAAACTAATTAAAAATTTGTTGTCACAAAGAAGAAAAAGAAAGAGAAACAAAGAGAAAGAAAGGGAGAATGAAGGGGGAGTGCGGGGAGAAGGGAATATCATTATATTCTTGGAATTGTATTTATGAACTATATATAATCTTTGCATTAATAGCACATTAATATGAAAAATAAATTTTAAAAAATGAAAAAAGAGCTGGAAGCATTTAAAGATGAACAGACTGATTGCATTAAATTAAATGCTCTTGGGGTGAGTATTGTGGCACAGAGGGTTAAGCTGCTGATTGGGATGTCTGACAGCTGTATCAGAATGTCAAGCTACTCAGCTTCTGACCCAGCTTCCTGGGAAGTTAGTGAATGATGACTCAAATAACTGGGCCTCTGCCACACATACAGAGTTCTGGGATCCTGCCTTTGGCCTCTCCCAGCACTGGTTGTGGGGATTTGTGGATTGAGTGGATACAAGAACTAACACACACACACACACTCTCTCTCTCTCTCTCTCTCTCTCTCTCTCCCCCCATCTCTTTCTTTCCTTTCCTCTCTTACTCTCAGAAACTCTGCCTTTCAAGTAAACTAGATTAAATGAATGAATATTTTTAAAAATCTTAATATTTAGGGTAAGGCTAAGATTTTCCCCATATAAATCCTTCTACAAGACTACATCAAAACACTCTAAAAATAGGCAAGAAATGGAAAGGATATCTAAAAGTTTACAAAAATATAGAAAGATAGTCAATTTTATTAATGTCAAAGGGTTGCCAATTACTTAAGACCAAGATTATTTTTATCCAGAAAATTAGGAAATATAAACATATCCCATCATTGTTGTGCATGTGAGGAAAGACACATTCTTCTACACCATATGATGAAGTGTTGGTTAAGATAGTACAGAAAACAAGTAAGCAATCTTTGCCAATAGTTACAATACTTCACAAATTTAATTGGAACAATTTATTGTAGTGAAATATTTAACCAGAGGAAAGAAGTAAAAGCATCCCAAGGAATATTTATAACATGCATACATCACAGAAACCAACTTGTCCATGAAAAACACATTGCCTATTGCACACTTACACAATAAAGTCCTTTTAAACCATAAGTGAATGAAATGCTGTGTGCTGATTTACAAGAAGTTTTTCTATGCACTGTATAATTAAATTGTAAACACCTAAGAAGATGGCTGTTTACATGCACATATCTATAATTCCACATATATTATTAGTGTGCAAAATAATATCCTAAAGATGCAATAACCACAACATTTGGAAGAATATCGAGGAATAGGCTGGGGATAGTATTTAGAGAAGGTGTACTGTGTGCACAAAGTCCATAAGGTATTTTATTTATTTATTTTTGACAGGCAGAGTTAGACAGAGAGAGAGAGACAGAGACAGAGAGAAAGGTCTTCCTTCCGTTGGTTCACCCCCTTAAATGGCCGCTATGGCCGGCGCGCCGCGCAGATCCAAAGCCAGGAGCCAGGTGCTTCTCCTGGTCTCCCATGCGGGTGCAGGGCCCAAGCATTTGGGCCATCCTCTACTGCCCTCCCAGGCCACAGCAGAGAGCTGGACTGGAAGAAGAGCAACTGGGACAGAACCCGGCGCCCCAACTGGGACTAGAACCCTGGGTGCCAGCATGCAGGTGGAGGATTAGCCTATTGAGACGCGGCGCCAGCCCATAAGATATTTTTATGACTTACTTTAGCTTTTTTGTTCTTCAGATTCTTGGGTGCCAAATAATATGGAATATGGGAACAGAAGAGGCGTGGAGATGGTCTGTTTCTCATGTCCATTACTCGTTTAGAGTATTCAAAGAAAGGGACTCTATATATTGTTTCCAAGTTTTCTGTTCCATTACGATGTTCCTCAAAATAAATCAAGCTTAGTAGTTGCTGAGCCCAGATTGTACCTGTCAAAATAGATAATCATGTTTTCATCTCTGCATAGTTTTTAATAATGCAAAAGCATTATCATGTATCAGAAGTTGATTTTCAGCTTTCTTTTAAACATTCCAAATACACTCATGATCACCTATTATTTTATGGTTTTTTTTCTGTATTTTACATTAAAATTAGTAAAGATAAAATCAAGGATTCTTCTTTGCTTTCTCATCTCAAGACTTGGGTTGCTCTGATTTCATCACTGAGGTGATTCAGATGATTTCAGCAGCTCCCTCTCTGTTTCTCACATAAGTAGGGTCACTTATTACTATCTCTTGTGTATACTTTTATTTCTCCATCCACAGACTCCTTTATTTATAATTTATCTTTTGTAAGAATTGACAAATCAAGGCTTTATGGCTTGGATTTTTTTCAAAATGAAATTAGGAAGTTTTTAGTTTTAAGGTCTCCAAATCTCTAAATTATGAAACCTTTTTTGGACAAATTGCAAGACTTAGCAATTGGGCAAAATGAGAAAGAAGAACAATTTCAGTGTTTTGGTTGAGTTTCGATTTCTTTTTTTTTATTTTTTTAAACTTTTATTTAATGCATATAATTTTCCAAAGTACGACTTATGGATTACAATGGCTTCCCCCCCATACCATCCCTCCCACCCACAACCCTCCCCTTTCCCACTCCCTCTCCCCTTCCATTCACATCAAGATTCATTTTCGATTATCTTAATATACAGAAGATCAGCTTAGTATACATTAAGTATGGATTTCAACAGTTTGCTCCCACACAGAAACATAAAGTGAAAAATAATAGATGATTTTTTTTAAATGATGATGAAATCGATTTCTTTTTTAAAATTTATTTTATTTATTTGAAAGGCAGAGAGAGAGAGAGACAGAGAGTAAAAGAGAGAGAATCTTCCATGTACTGGATCACTCCTGATATTTTTTCAGTAGCCAGGCTCAGGTGGGTTGAAGCCTGGAGACAGGAGCTGCTTCTGCATGGATTCAGGGCCCCTAGCACTTGGGCCATTTTCTGCTGTTTTTGCAGGAAAATTAGCAGGGAGCTTGATTGGAAGTGGAGCAACTGAGAGTTGAACCAGTGCCCATATGGGATGCTGGCACTGCTGGTGGTGGCTTAATGCAATATGCCACAATTCTGGCCCCAAGTCATGATTTCTTAAAGAGAAAATCCAGTCACTGGTTTTGGAAGAGTTTGAAAATTCTCCATTTTCATTTAGATGAACACTATGTGTTCAAATACAGTGACACTAAGGTTTGTCCTTATTTGTATAATGATTGTTTTGATCCTAGTACTATCATCATTCCAAGAAAAATTCAATGGTGTTTCTAATGAAGGGGAGTCTGATATTTTGTAAGAACTGGTATGCCAAGGATCTCTGGCTCCAGTGCTAGTAACACAAAGTTTCTGCTATGTACTATAACTCATTCTGAGCTTTCATCATGTCCCCAGTCTTGGCTCCAAACCTTCAAGAGTAACTGGCAATTTATTGTTGACTTCTGAGAACAGTGGTGCCTATTCCAGTTGAGTGATCACAGGAAGATGACCACTTTATATTATCCTGTCATTGGCAAGTCGTTGCTTGGAAAGATGAACTTTGGCCTGGACATCAGTGTCTGTGCACATATATTGTCAAGAAACATGATTGATTCCTTATCTCCATAAAAACAAGGACAACAAACATTGCTGTAATTATTAGGGTCTTGGTGTGTTCACATACCAGGCAGACTATAATTCATGCTGGATTAACTCTTGTCTCTGGAAATCACCAAGGGGCGCTTATTTATTTATTTTTTTGACAGGCAGAGTGGACAGTGAGAGAGAGAGACAGCGAGAAAGGTCTTCCTTTTGCCATTGGTTCACCCTCCAATGGCCACCACGGCTGGTGCGCTGCGACCGGCGCACCACACTGATCTGAAGGCAGGAGCCAGGTGCTTCTCCTGGTCTCCCATGTGGGTGCAGGGCCCAAGCACGTGGGCCATCCTCCACTGCCTTCCTGGGCCACAGCAGAGAGCTGGTCTGGAAGAGGGACAACCGGGAAAGAATCTGGCACCCCAACCGGGACTAGAACCCGGTGTGCCGGCGCCGCTAGGTGGAGGATTATCCTATTGAGCCGCGGCGCCGGCCCAAGGGGTGCTTATAATTCATTAAGAATACTGAAGAAGGGAATCAGTGTTGGATAGCATTTCTTCAAAGGAAACCCTTGCAAACATGAAGCTCATGTTGTCTTTGTGTCGTGTGTCATGAGTAATAAAATTCCTGGTTTCTGATTCAGGTGTCTTCTACCTGCCAATAGTTTTGGAACTCTTGTAGGCTAACCTGTTAGCTGCATGAAGTACAAAATCTTAGACTCCTCCAGATTTTGACACCCAAAACCTTGGTTCTAGATCTACAAAAAGACAGGGTGACTTCCTCATAATACTCTTCAATTGTTAAAATATTTTTATACTTTCCAAAAATGTATGAACATAGCAAGACTTGAAAATGAACAAAGCAATATATATGAGAATTATATTTATTTTTCTTATGAAAAACTATGTGTGTTGGATGTGTTCTGGACCAGCAATGTTATAAGCAAGCAAAAACATGTGTATGAAATTTAACAGCTTCAGCTTTACATCCAAGTGTGTTTTAACTGCTGTGAATACTCTGATTGATTAGCCTAGTGCATTAATTTGATTCCTGGCTCTGGCTCCTTATCCCAGTTTCCTGCTAATCCTTGGAAGCAGCAGCATTGGCTGGAATAATTTGGTTCCTGATATCCAATTGGGAGACCTAGACTATTTTTTTGTCTCTTGGATCTGATCAAAGACTAGGTGGTTGGTATTGGTGTTGTTAGAGTGAACCAGTATAAGAGTTTTCTCTTTTCTTCCTCCCTCACTTTCTCCCTCCCAAACTCATTTTCTTCCTTTTTATTTTTCATTTCTTTCCTAATTTCCTTCATCTCCCCTTTCTTCCTTCCCATGTTTCATCCCTTTGTTTCTCTTCTTCTTTCTTTCCTTCTCTCTCTCTCTCTCTGTATCTAAAATATGTAAAAAATTACTTTTTTAAGAAAAGTGGTATTTCTGGGACTCCTGTGTCCAAGAGGACTTTATTTCGCCACTTTATTGTACTAAATGTCTTCAGATAGAGAGATGGAGATAGAGATGGTAGATGATAGATAGACAGACAGAAAAATAGATAGATATAATCATTCCAGGAAACCCAAAGATCATGGCCTTTTAAAAAACTTAAGTGGAATCCAGCTGTCATAAGTAACTTAAGTAAACAAAACCTGTAGGAAAATTAACCTTTAGGGAAGGTAAATCCTCTAATTAGAAAGCATTGACAATTTTGAGATGGAAGATTTTATGTTGTCTCAGACCTATCGAGGTAAACAATAAGCTTTTTGGATCAGGAACAAAAAAAATCTGAGAAACTTTTTAAAAAAATATCTCTTGTTTGGAAATCTAATAAATGCCTATAGTGGTTTATGTTCACAGAATTTACTATGGACCTGTCATATTTCAAAACCATGAAGCAACCTAAAGTGATACCATCAGCAAGAAGGTCTCTTTGCATTTAATCCTGGAGCCACATGATCCAGGTCAGTGATTAAGCTCCACGTTGTCTCCTTTCACAGGAGGGCTCTCCTGCGGGTTCTGCCTGTCCATGGCATCTTTGTCCTAACTAATCAAGAAGTCTGACACATACAAAACTCTGCAGAAGCATCAGCTGTCCTTTCTAAACACAACTGCTACTGAATTCTCTAATTTATTCAATGCATCCACTACAATACACATTCTTCTCCTTGAATTTTTGCTATTCATCTAAAATATCATTGTATGGTTTACTTTTAATTATAAGCAACATGTTATCTTATAAAGAAACTTCATGAAGTTGTAAAATATGCCCCCAATACAGGGAAAGGATAAAAAGAATGAAAGCCTGGTTTGCTGGTTTCATTGGTTTATGTTGTGTATATGTATTAAAGTGTGACACTGGACTCCATGAAAATGGACAAGTATTATAGGTCAATAAAAAAATTAAATAATTATTACATAATAATTTATTTGTGTTTTGAACCAGGAATAGGTATTAGTTTTAAAAAATATTAAAAACAAGACACAAAGTGTAACAAGATTTTTCTTGAAAAAAAGTTAACATTTTTAAAAAATAGAAATACCTTATCTGATGCTTAAACTTAATCCACTCTCAGATATAACTTCTCTTAACATGTTATAGGATAGTCTACTTTACTGTAGACATTATATGGAAATCATTTGTATTTGTCAAAGGAAAAATAAGCTGATAAATATAGATAGATAGATTGATAGATATAGATACAGATATGTGTGTGTGTGTTCTATAATTTTCCTATTTTTGGCCAAACATATAACAAAGTCACCAGTTTTTGTCAATACATCAGATAATCTCATATTCATCAAAGAACTGCAGCTCAATTAGTGAAACAAACTTTTTTTTACTGAAATATACAAATAATTGAAAAATGTACTTTCAGATGCACCAATCTGCCTAGTGTCACAACATAGTACTCCATCCATCTTTCTGTTTATTAATCTCAATAATTGGTTGAGGTTTATATATTTTACATATAAGGTCGACCCATGTTTGCTATAGAATCATCCAGTTTCAAATATACTTGGTAAAGCACTGAAGTAAGAAATAAATTCATGGATGACAACCCCAAATTGTGAGGCACTCTATCCAGCAGTTGTAGCAAGTTCCTATGGATCTTCAGGTAAAGAATAATCTCAGGAAGAACGTAGGGAACTAAAATAATTGCCTGGAAAAAATCCTCAGGCAACAGAAGGGAATTGACAGCAACAAGATGTGCTTCATATGTTCATAATAACTGTTGTTCTCCTACTGAGAACAGTTACTATTTTGTGTTCATCCCTCATCTGTTTATAGGTTCCTTAAAGTGAAATTTCCTATTTTAATTAAAATATTTGATTATTTGTTTTCCTTTCTCACATCATTGCTGCTGAGTCTTTATATATTTAACATATACAGTTTTATTAACAATGCATAAAATTACATGTATAACATATAACTTTATTAAATTATATGTAATTTTATTTCAGACAACATGAACAGGTTAGCTATTATGCTGTACCTCTCTGCTCTAATTTTATTTCCCTATATTTTCCATCGGAAATGGAAATGGCTTTATACCATTGAGACTTCAGAGTATTTTGTTTCTGATCATAAGTAGTGATTTAAATGCAGGTTGTACTGCTGTTGATATCTGAAAAAGGCACATTAGTACATGTTCTACCACATCTAAATGAAGACTAGTATCAGATGAACCACTCCTTACACTTACCTGATTTGGGATACGTGATTATGAAAACATCATCATCTCTAATTTCAAAGTTTTCTACATTTTTTAATAGGTCCATATCAACATTAGATGAGAAATTATAGCCCTTAAAGTTGATTATAGATAATCTTGAAATCTCCATAATTTCTCACCTTAAAGTAAAAACAGATAAAAATCTCTTCAAATTTTGAGTGTTTTATAACTATGACTAATGCTTAGGGAGAATTCAATACATGCCAAGCACTATTTACATGTCTTATGTGTACCAACTCATTTGCCAAACAATATTTTTATTATATATATATATATTTATAATGTTAGTCAAACTTCAGAGTAATTCAATGTTGTTTTACTGTTTTCATCACTATTTTAGGGATGAGCAAAGTAAGATACTATGAGTTTAAACAGCTTTCTCTAAAACCCTACAAGAGATGATTATCATGATTCCAATGTGACAGATAAGGACATTGAGGCACAGAGAAGTCAAGCACATTACTCATGTTGCCCAGCTAGTTTGACCGGAGCTGTGAAGATTTGTCAGAGTCAAAGATCCCATTCTAGAGATTCTTAGTATTTTATGTATTTATTACTTATTTTTCTTATTGCTAGAGAAATAAAATTTATTATTAATGTGTTTTTATTTCTGTTTTATTACTCCTAAAGTTTAATAACTGCTGTCTATGAAAAAGGCTTCTGATACAGGTTTCGGCCACCAAGCACCCTGTGAAGTAGCAGGTGATAGCTAATGTAGCTGAGTCCCAAATGGGATATCAGGAATGAATTTCCAACTACAAATTCTCAGTATATGAGCATTTGAATAGTGAATGCATTATGATCTCTCTCGCTCTCCTCCTCCTCTGCTTCCTCCTCCTCTTCTCCTCCTCCTTCTTCTTCTTCATCTTCTTTTTGCCTCCTCCTTCCTCTTCTCCTTCTCCTTTTCTACTCCTTCCTTTTCCTCCTGCTTCTCTTCCTCTTCTTCTCCTTCTCCACTCCTCCTCCTCCTTCTTATCCTCTTCACTCCCCTCCTGTCTTCTTAACTCTCCTTTTTCCCCTACCCAACTCTGCTTCTCAAATTATCAAAGAAGAAATATTTAAGAATCATCCTACATTAGTTATTAATTCTATACATGTTTAGAAATAAGCTTAGGATTTAATAAACTTTTATAGGGACCATGTGTCTTTGTCAAGTTACCTTAAAAAAACACAAATAGATGTGGAACTTTAGTATTTCTGAAGGGTAAGAGTCTATTTACTATTATGCCAGTTGCAAAATTGTTTTTTTGAAATGTAAAGCAATACTAAACAAAATTCTAACAAGTTTCCTTATGAGAGTTTGAGGATGTATTTTAGATATTAAAATGCTATCATCTTGACAAAATAAACAGTAAGTATCAGAATCAACTTACATACAGATAATTCTTCTAAGTGTGATGAAACCTATTTTAAAGATGAAGAAAATGGACTATTTAAGCAAATGAAGTTGAAGCCTTTTACAATCTATCACCCCAACCCTCTGGATGCTGTCAGTAGAAGAGAGACTGTCATTCAGATCACACAAACTTTCCAAATGAATGTCATTATTTTTTGTTGTTTATTAAGATTAGTTACTCAACTGATCTGTCACTTACAGTCTCAGGAGAGAAAGTCAAAGCAACTGTGGTGTCACAGATATAATGGAGTAGGGGCAGAGTATGAGGAAAAACCATGTAGGTTCTCAACACTGTCAAGATATTGTTTGAAACTGATTATTTAAATATAAGGAATATATGATATTCCCTCTTTCAATGTGATCACCAAGACAGAGGGAAAAATAGAAAATTAAGGAGCAAACAATATATATATACATGTTACATAGAAGGAAAATGATATTTGCAGGATGCTTTAAGTCTATACTTTCCTACTCACCGTTGTAGATCAACTGAGCAAGTAAAATCACCTCTGGTAGGATTTTAGGGATGATTGGGACTGATGCACTGCTCAGAAATAAATATTCCCCATAGAGTTTGTTTCAGCCAATGACTGAAGTTGTAGAGAATGAGCAAGCAGCTCAGCTTGGAAAAGTTAAGTAAGATTTTGTTGACATTAGGCAAACCACATCATGTTGTTGCAGAAATGAGGAAAGACTCAGACCTTTAGAGATACTAGAGAATTGTGTTTAAACACAAATCATAAGCGCACAACTTTGACAAATATCAAATAAACACTATGTCTTGCATTCTCTAAGAACAACTTCCTCGTATATCTTTTGTGGTAAAAAAAAATTCGTGAAGACATAATTCAGGAGGTGGCTGTCCAAATCAGGTCTTTATTCCAGTCCACTTCTTTTTCTACTCTTAGTCTCATCTTATTTGTGCCCTGTATTGAAAAACTGGCTGTACCAATGTAAGGTTTCAGATCCTTGTATACGCCTATATCAGAAAAATTTGTTTTCCAATGTTATTCTTTTTAAGTAATGCTCTGTCAATTCTATAATTTTTAAAAGGCTGCTAGTATTAATGATTCAGCCTGCCTTTTAATTAAAAAATAATTTATACTTATCTGAAGTTTATCTGAATATCTGGACTTGTAACCTGTCCTTTACCCTTCTGTTGCTCAAATGTCATGCTCTTGATGATGATATTCAGGTTTCTACTAAATAGAAAATTTTTCTATGAGAGATTTTTAAAGCTTTGCAATGTATAAATCTCCACTTGTCAAGGGTTATTATTTACTGTGAAGCTAATATAAACTTATACATATTGAGAAAATCTCTTGTTTCTCACAATGTAAATTGAGACAATATTGATAAAATATTCCATATTTGTGATGGGAATATACTCTGAAGGATAAAAGTCAACTGGGGTATATTACTTATTCAAATGCATAGCTAAGCCAGATTTTCTGGTTGTTTAGCATTATTTTCTTGGGGCAAAATGCTTTAGAGTTTTCTGAGCTGTATGGGATCTTTACCCCATTCTTTTTTTTAATTTGTGACAATTGAGAATTTACCAGTATGGATTCATGGATTATATAGTAGTGATATATCTACATTCATTTTCTGCTTTTGGTAACTGTATTTACTGAATTATTCTAAGGAAATACTTTTGCAAATATTGAGTAGAGGCACTATTTCACAGCCCTAAATATTTCACATATATATGAAAGGAAAAGGAAAGCGAGAATAAAAAAGAATAATGGAGTAATTAGGTAATTTATACACAACAGCTTATTGGTGCTGATTGTACACAAGAACTCCTTGTTCCATTCATGAGACTTTGTTTACATTTGAACTGATGTAAAAACTAAAAAATTAGAAATATCGCATTAATATCCAAATGAACAAGCTAATAGAAAAACTAATAACAATGTGTGAAATTTATGAGATGCTATCAAATGACTCGACATATTGGTCTTGGGATTTCTTGAAGGTATGGAAAGAGATGATGGATTACAAATGTTATGCAGTGAAATAACAGCAGAAAACTTCCATAATTTGAAGAAAGATAGGGACATTCACGTACAGGAAATATATAGAACTTCTAATCATAACTAAAAAGATCTTCACCACAAAACATTATTGTCAAACCTCAAAGGTAAAACATGAAGAAAAAATTCTAAAGTATGTATGAAAAAAATGCCAAGTCACCTTCAGAGGATCTCCAATTAAACTGACAGCTGAATTACCAGCAGAAAACCTACAGGCTAAGAGAGAATGGAGAGATATAGTCCAAGTCTTAAAAGATAAAAAAAAAAAGAGCTATCAACCCAAAATACTTTACCCAACAGAATGCTCATGAATGAAAGTGAAATAAAGACCTCCCATAACACACAGAAATGAACAAAAAAGTTTTCACCACTCATCCACATTACCAATGATGCTTAAGGATGTGCTTCAAAAGAAACACAGAAAGATAATCATCATTATGAAGAATGTGAGGCAGAAAACATCCTAGTAAAATTATAAAGGAAATCCAAAATAGTCAATAGGAACATTTATGGGAAAATGATAGGGTCAAGTAGTTATCTATCAATAATAACCCTGAATGTAAATGACCTACATTCTTCAAATAAAAGATACAGACTAAGGCCAGCACCGCAGCTCAATAGGCTAATCCTCTGCCTAGTGGCACTGGCACACTGGGTTCTAGTCCCAGTCGGGGTGCCAGATTCTGTCCCAGTTGCCCCTCTTCCAGGCCAGCTCTCTGCTATGGCCCAGGAATGCAGTGGAGGATGGCCCAAGTTCTTAGGCCCTGGACCCACATGGGAGACCAGGAGAAGCACCTGGCTTCTGCCTTCGGATCAGTGCGGTGCGCTGGCTGCAGCACACTGGCCGGGGTGGCATTGGAGGGTGAACCAATGGCAAAGGAAGACCTTCCTGTCTGTCTGTCTGTCTGTCTCTCTCTCTCACTGTCCACTCTGCCTGTAAAAAAAAAAAAAAAAAGATACAGACTGGCTAAATGGATTATAAAACAAGATCCATCTATTTGCTGCCAGCAAGAAACACACCTCATGAATAGAGTTGTACACAGCCTGAAAGTGACAGGATAGAGACAGATACTCCATCCTAATGGAAACCAAAATAGACTAAGAGTAGCATTACTGATATCAGACAAAACAGACTTTAACATGTCAACTGTTGAAGGAAAGAAAGAAGGGCATTACATAATGATTAAGAGATCTATTCAACAAGAAGATGTGACTATACTAAAAATATATGCACCTAGTGCTGGAGTGCACTGGTTACTAAAAAACAGTTAATGGATCTAAAGGAAGACATAGATTGCAATACAATAATAATGGGGGACTTCAAAGCCCTACTTTCATCAATAGACAGATATATTAGACAAAAAGTCAACAAAAAACAATAGACTAATCTATACTTTAGACCAAATGGATCTAATTGATTTCTACAGAACATTTCATCCCACAGTGGAAGAACACATTCATTCATCAGTGCATGGAACTTTCTATAGGATATCCATATGCTAGGCCATAAAGCAAATCTCAACAAATTAAAAAAAAAACTAAAAATATACAATATGTATTTTCTGACAACAAAGGAACGAAGCTGGGAATTAACAAGAAACTCCTGAAAAAGTGCAAACTCATGTAGACCGAACAACATGCTCCTAAATGAACACTGGGTCATAGAGGAAATCAAAAGGGAAATAAAAATATTTCTTGAAAACAAATGAAGATGACAACACAGCACCAGTGGCATCAAAAAATGCTACAGAGAAATTATTGTTACCTCAGCTTGGGCTGGGGTAGGATTTGGGGGCTGCAGGGATAGGGGAATTCCTGGAACTGGTTGAGGATTGGGAATCTGGAAAAGAATGCAGGGTGGGGTATGAAGGCAACAGGGTATGAGACCTAATTGAGTTTCAAGGGCAAGGAATACCTTCCAAAGTTTATCTCTTTTGGGCAATGAGGGAGAATGGCTAAGCTTTATGCCCTTGTGAAGTAGGCAGACATATACGTTAAAATTAGTTAGGTTTGGGCCGGCACCATGGCTCACTTGGTTAATCTTCTGCCTGTGGTGCCAGCATCCCATATGGGTGCCGGGTTCTAGTCCCAGTTGCTCTTCTTCCAATCCAGTTCTCTGTTGTGGCCCAGGAGGGCAGTGGAGGATGACCCATATACTTGGGTGGGAGGGCAGTGGAGGATGGCCCAAGTGCTTGGGCCCCTGCACCCACATGGGAGACCAGGGAGAGGCACCTGGCTCCTGGCTTCAGATTGGTGCAGGGCTGGCTATAGCGGTCATTTGGGGGGTGAACCAATAGAAGGAAGACCTTTCTGTCTTTCTTTCTCCCTGTCTTGTTGTGCCTGAGTGAGTGCTGACAGAGGAACACCACACACTGAAAAAATTTTAAAGTCCTTTATTGCTGGCGGCCAAGAGTGGGCTCATGCCCCAAAGAACTCTTGACCCTGAGGCCCAAAGCTACAGGGTTTATAAAGGCAAAACCTACAAAATTGGGAGGGGGAATACATGGTTGCTAATATCAAAAGAGAGTACATAGTTACTAGGGTCAAGATAACCTAAGACCTAAGCGAAATTAATATCCATTATAATCTTGACAATACCAGTTACAATCTTAACAATTTTTTTAAAATTTTTTTGACAGGCAGAGTGGACAGTGAGAGAGAGAGACAGAGAGATAGGTCTTCCTTTGCCGTTGGTTCACCCTCCAATGGCCGCCGCGGCCGGCGCGCTGCGGCCAGCGCACCGCGCTGATCCGATGGCAGGAGCCAGGTACTTATCCTGGTCTCCCATGGGGTGCAGGGCCCAAGCACTTGGGCCATCCTCCACTGCACTTCCCTGGCCACAGCAGAGAGCTGGCCTGGAAGAGGGGCCACCGGGACAGAATCTGGTGCCCCGACTGGGACTAGAACCTGGTGTGCCGGCGCCGCAAGGCAGAGGATTAGCCTAGTGAGCCGTGGCGCCGGCCCACAATCTTAACAATTATCAATTATAATCTTGACACTCATCCAATTATTGGTTTTAATTATATGTAAGACATAGACAAATCTCATTTTTATCATTAACCCAGGTGCAACCTTTCTACTTTCAAGCTTCAGTGTTCATGCTAGGGGGTTTCTGTGCTCTGCCAAGGGTGATGTAGTGCACTGCTATTGTCTGATTATTTTAGATCAGGGTCTCGGTGGGTGGGGGGTGCTTTCCCAGAATGGAGACTCAAGTGCTCCAAAATGGAGTCCCTACTGTCAAGGTGCTACTTCAGTCTAACTCTATCAAATTATAAATTAAAAAAAAAATTAATTAGGTTTGTGAGCTGGAAAACCATGCCTTCGCCATGCCCCTGTTTGACCTCATGCCTCTACATGACCACACCTGTTTGCCCACTGGCCAATAAGGTCAATTAACCACTCCCCTTTGGAAGTGGGTTAAAAGCCTGGGACACGCTGTGTCCAGCCTCTTCTTTTCCCTGGCCTCTAGCCAGGAGGGGGCTGGCTGTAGCCTATGCCTCTAGGGCACGTGGCCTTTGGGCCACTCACCCTAGGCTTCCTGGCCTAGATGCTCTTCCACATGGCTGGTTTCTGGTACTCAGTATGAAC